ATTCCAAGTAACTTTTAACTTTCGAAATGCAAAAAGTAAATAAAGTGCTGCAAACAAACAATTTTAGATACGCTTGTAAAGCTTTCATTTTCTTTCATTTTTTGTTTATATCTTACATTTTTATTAATAAATAAAATAATTATAAAATTGCTCTTACATATAGCTTCCCATTCCGATTGGGAAAGAGTTCCTATTACATCATGATCTCTGGAATTTTTCATGTATTCTACGGCATGTTGATATTCATTAGAATCCAGTCCTAGAAGTGGAGTTTCTTTGGTAGACGGATATGCCTCTAACGCTTGCATTTTGGTAAGAAGAAATTTACCATCTTTCTTCATTTTTTCATAATAATCCTCAAAGCTAAATTAATAATACATGTGATTAGGGTTTTTGCGAATTATAAGGTGAATTCGCTTAATAATCGATTTACTTTCTCTTGTTTTTATTAATTTTAATAATTAAAAACTTAAAAGCAGTTTTGAAATTGATTTAAGCAAATTGATAAAATTGCAGATTGAAAATTTAAATGAATAGCAAATAAAAGTTTGAACTCGTAGGACAAATCATTTGCAAAGATCCTCAAACAAATTAATAGAATTGAAAATATTTGCTGAATTAATATAGAACAAAATTATTATGTTTCAAAGTAATAATTTATCAGTCCTTAGTTAAAGTAAAAGTATACACGCTTTTATTTATGTAGCTCGTTAAATTTATTTTTTATAAATGGTTTCGATAATATTAATTATCATAATATAAAATGCATGTGTAAGCCTATACAAAAATATTGATAAAATGTCCTTTGTATTATATAAATTAAAACTGATAATAAATATTACTCTAATTACTTAATATAAATTGCATAAATATACAAAAGTATATTTCTTAATGGATAATAATTTCTTTAAAAAAAAACTGTCACAACTGACAAAAGTTAAATTATTTGAATTAATATAAAGTATGGAAGCTTATAAAATTTTTACCGTTCCAACATTACTAATTCTAAACCATATTTAGAAGCGAGTTTACAGAACGCTGGTATGTAAACAAGAAATTCAGGACAATTAACAACACCCTCTAAAAGGAAATTATACTTTGCACCAAATATTGGCACATTATTTTTATCACAATCAAAATCAATATTATAAATATTATTGCCAAATTTATTTCCTTCGACCTTTTGCCACCTAGCACTGCAAATAAAAAATTACTTATTAGATTTGTTTCTTTGTACATGTAAAACATTAATGAAATCTGTACACTAATTCATTTGCATTAGGTATCGATCCAATAAAATAACCACCAGACTTCAAGCTTTCACTCGCATTTTTGAGCATACATTCGGCTTGACTTAAAGACTCAAAACAATAATGAAATGCGAACTGACAACTAACGAGATCAAGTTGCATACTGGCATCTTCATATTTCTCTCGCAGGCGTATCTAAAAATGAATTATTACATAATTCATTACAGAATAGACTTAAGCAAGGGATTATCATATAAGTGTCCGATTCTAATAATTATTATGAGACTTTAAGATACCCTTGTGCAGTCGTATGGTAAAAATTCTGCAGTAAATAGTCGATTGTAGAGCTTTTTCTTCATCTCGTTATAACGATGTTGACACTGTTCCACTGATACTTCTGCAATATCAGCGCATATCAAATGCGAAATATGACCTTTTCTCCATTTATACAAATCTCCACCCTTTCCACAACACATATCCAATACCCTTACTGGATCACCATGGCTTTTTCCTTCTCTAATTTTTCGTAAATATTGATCTAATAATAAATGAATGTATATAAAATATAGAATAATATATATATATATATATATATATATATATATATATACATTATTAGTTATAGATAAAGACAAAAATTCATTAAATCATATTTACCTATGAACATGCTTTTAATCCAATTATTAAAATTTCTCATATACACTATGCGACTTTCTCTCCTTTTTAATAATCCCTTTTCTTCTAACGTATTATAATAATTTGCAACCAAATTTGTAGTATCACTGCTATTGCTACACTTGTTATCGACATTTTTGGAATTTGATATTGAAATATCAGAATCAGTATTTGAAATCTAGAAAAAATCAAATTCATGTAATTAATAGTATAATTGATTTAATAGAACAATTTATATAAACAATTGTGTACAAAAAAAAAAAAAAAAAATAATAATAAACATTTTTACTTGAGAAATTCGTGGCTTTTTATCTACTATAGAAATTGAGGATTCATTTTCATTCTTAAGCTTTCTTTTATGGATACTTTTTTTTATATTTTCCTCCACATTTTCATTATTACTTATGGGTGAATGAGATTTTATGTTAATAGAAGGTTCGTCAACAGATTCGCTGGACATCGTGATACTCCAATTACTCCTCTTTACTGCAATATACCTGACCGCGTACCGTAATTCTATTAATCATAAGATCTTGACGATAACAAACTGCAGCGACTTACCGAAATAAAGTATTATCGTAGTTGCCCAATGATGGCGCTGCAATCGCGCAGTCTGCTAATTGTCAATGGAACGAGTTATAAAAGTTTTTAAAATATTTAAAAAAATCTTACATAATAATGTATACTTAATAATCGACGGTGAGAATAATTAATTTTTCTATATTACAGTTGGCTTTGTGTAACAATTAATAACATCGTTCGCATGGCCATTGTATATAATTGAGCTCGTTTAAGCACTGAATTTATTAATTGCATTTAATTTTTATTGTTGTTACATTGTTGTAAAGCTAACGATAAGAGCATTTTTATAAAAAGTTTTTAATCAAATATTTTGTAAAATAAGCCATTAATATGAGAGTATTGGATAGGCTGTTGGTTATAATACAGCTGAAAAAAAAAAAAAAAAAAAAAAAAAAAAAAAACAAAAAAAAACAACAACAACAACAACAAGTATAAACAAATCAAGAAAATAAAATTGTTTTTACAAGGTATTTACATTTTTTTTTAACAATTTTTGAGCCTATGAAATACCGGATAATTTCAAAAAGATATGTAAATACATATATGCACGTAAGAAATGACTCTCGCTATTGGGGTGTGTGCGAGCTTATATAATTATTCACGGAGAAATAATTTATTATTTCACAATGCGCTTTAAAATGTATTTATTAATCTTTTTCATAACGTTTATAAAGAACATTGGTTCTTCAACAAATGTTCTATTTGTGAATTTGTTGTATCATTGTTGTATACTTTAAGCGGCATTATACATGAAAATGTGTAACGTGTTAAACAAATCAAGTACAAAGATGTTAAATAAATTATTAATATAATAGATTGATTGTTTTGAATTTTTATCGTTTGCTTACGAATGTACGACGACGACTCAAGCCCAGATTTTATAGGAGAGCATATTAACGAAGAACATACCTGAGGTTCGCTTCACGATTACTGCACCCTCGTTTCACTTCTTGCCATTCAAACAATTCCTATTTTACTTATGACCGCTTGAATGGCTCATAAAAGTGACCACATTGTAAATGGAAAACAAAAAAAAAAACAAAAAAAAAAAAAAAACAAAAACAAAAACAAAGAAATCAACAACAGACGAGTGGCCAGAAGCAGACCTAATGAAAGTCAAAAATTACTTTACGATCCAAGCGATGACGTATCATAAATTATTCTTTAAGGCTCACTTATTCCTAATTTAAAGCGATACATTTGAAACGAGACGAGACGAGATGTGTTGCATTGTGACTTTGGATATATTTTTTTATTATTATCATAATCTTCTATCCGTTTTTATCCTGTTTTGCATTCATATATTGAATTGAAAAATCGATCATACTCTTCCTTAAAATTTTTATTTTACATCATGCTGCATCTTTAGAACATTAACAATTTACAAAACTTATTTCAAATAAAAAAATATCTTTTTTGCAAGAATCTTAATATTTTAACTTTTCTATATTTATTAGTATTGAAATGTTGTAACCAAAACATTGTTAATGGCACATAATCGCTTGCATAGATAATTTATTCTTCAGTTTCTTCAATTGCCGTGTTAGCTTTCAAATATCGTCTCCTATACAAAATTGAGCTAATAAATTTTAAAGTTTTTAATTTTTCCATTATGTTCATACGTATCAAAGATGAAAAGATATTATAAATAAGCATTTCGTTGGTTAAATCGATCATTAATATGTAGGGAAGCAAATTATAAAGAAGCAATTACTCTAGTATAAAAGCGATGATGTCGTACAGAAAATGATTAAAATTTTTTCATGTTTAAGAAAACGTGAAAAAGTTTTCATAGCTATTCATCATAGTAAATAAAATATTATATCACGAGAGAATATGCGTAAAAAAAAAAAAAAAAAAAAAAAAAAAAAAAAAAAGGAAAAAAAAATTAAAGAAAGAAAAAAAAGTTTCATTCATACTTAATGTTTTGTGAGTAAGAAACAAATTATACAAATAATAATTCTTCGTATAAAAATTTATTGCCGTTATTCTTTACAATACAGAATAATTGTTTCTATTAATATTTTGACTTAAAAGAAATTTTCAACATACTAAATTTCAGATTTTCCATTCATATCTACTGTATAGGACAAATATTAATTATCATATTGTTTTGTATAATAAATATTATTATCATTGAATTGTAGTAAAGCATTAATATAAATTTACTTATTAAAAACAACTTTCGCTCTATATTTCGATTCTCTATTCCTCAATTAATTTCGATTGTTTCTTAAATATGAATGAATACATACTCCCAGTTGGATAATTAATTTTAATTTAATCGTAATATCTACATTAGATGAGATGTCGTAAATGTACGCTCGATAATACTTCACAGTGTCAAATTGTTTTCGAAAAGAATTTAAACGAAAGCCCAAAATTCAAAATATCTCGTATTCATCGTAACTCTTTCGATAGAATTGCCGAGGCTGTTAAAATATTGCATCTATATGGCATTTCAAACATAATATCATTAAATAACAGAGAAATTTCGACATAAATTCATTTAGAATTCTCTATTCTTAATATTCTTAATTGCAAAACTATTGCACGTGCATTTAATTAAGTGATTATTAAGAAATTTTATTTCAAACCTTTATGTTAGTAGATATAATTAGTCGCGTATTTCTTAAAGTTTATTAAAATATCTTTCGATCGATTATATATTATTATATGTGTATTAAATGATATTAGTCAATAACAAATATGAAATTTTAATTAAAATTAGAACTTGACTTATTACGCGGGCAGGTGCGTGATATCCTTTTTTTTTTTTTTAAAATTAAATTATTAATTTCAGATTTTTTTTCTTTTAAATACAATTTCGTGAGATTTAAATATAATTCCCTATTGATTTCATAGCATAAAATGTTAAATTAAAGGCTTATACCGTACGTTATTGCATTGAGTCGTTAAATCTATTTTACACAAACATACGCCTTTACACAATGGATATTCGAAAGTTCGAAATAACATATAAAATGTAATATAAAATAATATATCGACGTTTCTTATAAGCACCATTAGCGTCCAATCTTGATTCTCCAAACTCGATTTTTTAAATATTTGTACGTGCTACGACCGAATGTGTATTGTATTTATTACAAAGGATTCTCATGAGAACAGGCAAAAACTGAAAAAAAAATGAAGGATTTCATTATTATTTTTTAGGCAAAATGGGCATGGGAAACATCCCAACGACATATCACATACGGTTCGAAGGAAGCGGATCTTTAAAAAAAAAAAAAAAAAAATGATACTTCACCAGCAGCTATTGCATAGTTATTATTGCGCGTCCATTCTTTAATGCCCAACTCCAAGATTCTTACATTTTTCTAAATTATTTGTACATATAATGAATAATTATATAAGCTACAATGTAATAATTTATTGGCGCAAGCTTACTAAGGGCATAAAGACGCCTAAATAAGTTACGAATAATTTTAAAAGTTATTTCTATAATAGTACTTCTCATCAAATTATTATAAATGCCTTTAATTAGTAATTAGCAACTTATATTAAAAGTAGTAATTTAAGCTTCAACGCGCAGTGTAGGAGGTAATAAGCGTTAAGGAATTGTTAAAGTGGCATAGACACCGAAACCGGTGGCTTTCATTTTTGAAAATCATAAATTTTTTCAAGCTCTAATGTTATAATTATTGTATACGATCCGACGTATTATAAATAAAGCTGAATAACCATTGGTTTACGTGTGCTGTGCGAGAGCGGCATTTGGTCTTTAAAATATTTTTAAAAAGACAGAGATGAATCGGGACAGAAGAAATCTATACGTACAGTTTTGGCGTCAAAGGTGTGCAAAAACAGAAACAAAACAAAAAACAAAACAAAAAACAAAAAAACAAAAAAACAAAACAAAAAACAAAAAAAAAACAAAAAAAAAAAATTTATGAATTAGTATGGTAAAGCTATTAAATATCTTTCTATCCGGTTATTATTACAATGTACATAGTGATTGACTTTGATGATTTGAGCTTTAGCCCCTCGAATAATGCGCGCAAGGGCATTATTGTAACGTAAAATCGATAAGATCGAAAGAAATCCTTGGAGTATCGGGTCAATTATTAATGATTTCGGTTCCGACCATCCCACCGTTTTTACCTGATAAACAAATATCTGGTTAAATGCCTCTCTTCCCTTCACGCTACCAACGCTACCACTCGCTTATCTAATAAACAAGGACTGTCGTAGCGCAGGACGCGCAAAGCTTCCGTATAGTTATAAAACTAATGAGTATGCAAAGTAACGGTACTACTCGCTTCCTTGTGGGAGCAACTTGTACAAATCGATGCTTTTTGTTATTGTAACAAATCGATACTTTGGTGTTTCAAATTACCGGCCCAAACAGATTCCGCACATTCGATTGTGTGTATGTTTTTTTTTTTTTGTTTTTTTTTGTTTTTGTTTTTTTGATCTCCATTTTGCTACCAACATTGCTTTTTTATTTTAAGAACTGGTGTCTGTCTCGTTATCACTTTGTTCCTACCATTTTGTCTTTCACTGTGTTAGTTACGCTAGTTTTTTTTGGAACGCTACGTTATATGATTGTGTACACACATTTTGTGTGCGCATCGTTGGGATTATAGATAAATAAATTTTTGTGGTAAGCCTGATAAACGTTCTAGTAAATATCCTACGCTGGTAAGTTTTGGCTTTTACAGTCGCGTCAATCAAGTTAATGTAGAAGTAGCCTTAATCTGTTTTAGATTTACATTTTACACAATATCTAATCTAAATGTAACCGCAAAGGCGAAAAACGTAACCAAGAACAAATACCGCTCATTATTTTTTATTTAAAAAACTTTTCTTCCTTCATTTAATAACATAATTTATGTTTAACTGGAGATTTGATACGTATTGACAGTTTATTGGAAAGTGATGAAAGTATTTTGATTATTATGGAAGTGAGTTAATCAAGGTGTTTGTAGATTACAAATACTTTTTCAATGAATTTTTGATTGATTTGCCTTTCTTAATTGATGTTTATATTTTTTGTAAGTTAAATTTCATCTATCATCTAATATGCGGGCAATTACTGCTTATTCTTATCTATTGTCTTATCTTAAATTCTCTTACAAAGAAAGATAAACAATACACTTAAAAGACATACATGTATTATTCTTTTTCAATAAATTTAAATAATTTGTTTTTTTAGGGATTTTAGAACTAATGGTGTGTCTCAATGTGATTTTGCTAATTTAAATAACAGCTTTCTTCGAACGCTAGTTAAAATCATGGAAAACTTTACTACTCAGAGATTCGATGGTAAGATCGAAGGATTTGATTCTTGTATGATCGATGGAGCGGGTCAACAACAAGACATTACACAAAATGTCAATAGTGAAGCGAATGCTCAAGACGTTAATGCAATTGAAAATGAAGAAAATCACGAAGTCTCATCTATGCAGACTCCAACGCTACCCCAGCAAAATAATCAGATGTCTCAGATAATGCAACCAAATATTCAAAATAATGTAACTTTAACTCCTGTTCGGTTGCCAGCTATTTTAGATGGTGAATTCTTTAGCGTTATGAGATTAGAGGATACAAATGTTACAGCGCGCTGTTTACAATGTCATAAGCTTCTTAATGGAAATCTCAAGTCAACTGGAAACTTTCTTAGTCACATAAAGGTATATTTTGCAAATTTAAAAGAAACTAAGATTTATAATTAATTTATTATATTTTTATTAGAGGGTTCATCCATTTTTAATAGAGAAAATTAAATGTAAATCAAATCAGAGGAGGCCAGCAGCAATATATATTGACCTATCGCAAGACAAATGTCCAGAACTTATAAGAACAAAGAATCGACTGAAAAAATTTCCCAAAACAGTAACCAAACTTTTTTAAACATAATCCTAATTTTGCACAAACGATATTTTTTATCATTAATATTGCTTATCATTAATATTATCAATGAAAATATTTTTCATTGTCAATTTTCATTTTTACTATCGTTTTTCGTACAATTAAAAATATATATAATTATTAATGACTATTTTACACCGAGCGATGCTTCAAATTAAACATTTTAAATAACAATTGTTTACAAAATATTTCTTACATTTAATTTGATAAAAAAAAAAAAAAAAAAAAAAAAAAAAAAAAATTTTCTCATCTATAGGAAGAGTGTCAATCTGCCAATGAAGAATCTTTTGAACAAACAGAATGGACGGAACCTGCAAGTTACAGGAAAAGAAGATCGGAGGAGCTCGATGCTAGCGAAATGTTAAGAGTATCCCATAATAATTCTATTATTGTAGAAGATGAGTTTGATGCAATTGGAAGAAATGTCGCTGCCAAACTTCGGCATATGAGATTAGAACAACGAATAATTGCCGAGAAATTACTGAACGATATTTTATTTGAGGCACAGTTAGGTAATCTTCATAGAGATTCCAGTATACATGTTTGAAAATGTATAATACTTTAAGTGTACAAGATAATTTTTAAGTATATAAGTAATTATATAGTAAATCAATTTTTAATCAATGTTCTATTTTTAATATTTTATGATTTAGACGACATTTAAAATTCGTGTTTAATTTTATCTGTACAGACTTTCATAAGATAAAAAAATTGTTTATGAATAAGAAACAAAAATAATTGTACAAATATTTTTATTGCACACAGTATACAATGATCTAATGTAAATAAGTATGTTTTTTGGTTTGAAAAATTGGACTGATATCTAACAGTCTGCAGCTAGGCATCGTTCATATAATATATTTTATATAAATAGATTGATTAGTGATACAAATTTGATTTTTTGAGACAAAGTACGCATGAAGTTATAGTACTTTATAAGTCATCATCTATAACAAATGGTATGTTCAGTCTTTTTATTAAAGTATCAGCATTTTATAACTATTGCTAATACTAATAATTATCAAATACATACAGGATTTAGTAACTAGATGAAATAATGAATAATAAATTGTATTTTTTGTAAAAAATGTTTACTTATTATAAATACTATTTGTGTCTTTAAGTTTCTTATCTAAAGTCGTATTATAATTAAGTAGAGTATGCCAAAGGCCTAATTTGCATACTGATTATTTATAATAATTAGTTAAAGCATAAGAATTATGATCGACATTCCTTTTGAAAAATTGTGTTTATAAATAAATTTGCAATATGAAATTAAATATTAATTACTAATTGTCATAATATTTAAGTTACATATATTTTACGTTTTTTTGGTTTTAATAAGTAATAAAAAATTGTTGATAAAAAACAAAGACTCATACACATAAAAATTGTGTAAAATGAATAAGAATACCAAAATCCTGCCCAATCACCATAAAAATACCAAGCCAATGTCATGAAAATATTTTGTATAAATACAAATATATAGTAAAAAATAAGCCATTTGTCGGCATATTTGAATTTAACTCTATATTCAATGATACTGAATATGTATACTAAACCAAGCCACAAGTTTATAAAAAAACTCATTACGTCGTAATATTTTGCATAATAAAATAAATAAGCAATCATAAGAGTATAGTGTGTACCGAGCACGCCTAATAAATACATTGGATAGAATTCGAGAAAAATTGCTAATGATAAAACTCGTGGTAATATAAACAAAAACCACCACAGAAAAAATGAAAATGACCTAACGGGATTGTTATTTTCTAAATCTTTTGCAAAATGTTTGCGCTTTGATAATATTGAGCTATTATTTCTTTCGAAGGCTCTATCGCTATCGGCCTTTATATCATCTACGAACGACTTTGCTATTTCATCAATTTGAACATCCTCAGAATCACCAACGATGGAATCTGGTCTTGGTGGTGCTGGCATCTCCGGTACGGGTAATCGTGTGATTGATGTAATACCCCGAAGCGGAGTCGGAGGTGGAATAACTTTCATATTTTTTGGTGGCAATGGTGGTGTTAAGCAATTTTGTTTCTCCAAGTTAATGCTTAAATCTTGTTTATGTTCACAATTTTCATTGCTATTTTGCTCTTGATCGGTTCCAATTCCTGACTGAAAATGTGAAATTGACGATTGCAGAAGCTGCTTTTCTTCCAAATTTTCTAATTCCTACAATTAGATTATCTATTATTTGGATTGTATTTTATACGGAATACTACAAATTATTTCCAAGGAAAAATAAATAAAATAAAAAATATTAGAATACAAAATTGCTGATAATTTATATTAGAATTATTAAAGTATTTTATTGTAACGATTAGGTTATTTAAATGAAAAAATTGAATTTATAATCTATATTGATTTATAGTGATTTTAAGCTTTTATCGATTTACCTCAATTTTAAATTTTTTCAACCACATCGCCCAAGGTACCTTCCTTCCATTTGTTCTTTGACTTTCGTATCTTTGAAATTGTGTCGTTCTAATGGCCATTATGCATACTGACATTAAGATACATAAAATATGCACGGCTTCTGTTGAAAAATTAATTTTCAAGTATTTTATTTATTTATTATATAAATTATTAATACAAAATTTGTATGAACCTGATTGATGTGTGCGAGAAGCAAATTTTTCTTTAAATAATAAATGTGTTTGAAATACTGCCTGTGGAGTAGCTTGAAACCAAGCTTGGAGGAAAAAATACAGTTCGATCGCTGCTGGTGCGGCAGCAACATTTAACGTTTGTATTCTATAATTACCCGATAAAATTATTGCATCTATCGATAATACTATGAGACCGGCATATCTAAAAATAAATTTTGTCTCTACTAATAGACGCAATTGGAAGTTAAGCATACTTTAAAATATATATATAATCACCTGTACATAGCAAATAATGGAAATGCTATCAATTTACCCACTTGTAGCAGCAACCATAGGAAGGTCCCTTTATACATTTTATCGTCGTCTGTCATCCACCAGTCTGGTCTTGAAATTGTCAAAATAAAGTAGGCAAGAGCAGGGGCATACATAAAGCATATTGTAATACAAGCCCATACTGGGTTATTTTCTCTAAAATGTTGTATTGCGACTACTAAATCAACAGAAAAGTGTATTACGTATATAAAGCAATTAACTATGGCTGGTATTAAAAATATTATGTATATTTGTTCCTTTGACTTTAATGGAACTCTTAAGCATTTGGCTGATTTCTTCTGATATGTTTCTTCCGCTACTTGAGCCATTGTCCTTCTTTTATATACACTTTTTTCATAAGAATATATTGTCAATTACAATTGTTTATATCATAATCGATTAAATCATTGATTATGATAATATTATTGTAATACTTGAGTAAGTGGTTGAAGAAACGGGATTTGAACGCTTATAATTCAAACTAACCATCTAAATGTTTATAATTGCTTTTATAGTTCAGTCTTATCATATTTCATGCGCTTACATTAGACTTTGGCAAGTGTTTAGTTGTACTCTTTAATTGTCATATTTATCGATTGATTAATTTTCTATACATTTGTATCCGTAGATTGCATACTTTTACTGCAGTACTCGCATATTTTTAATATAAATTTGAATTTTAATTTGTATCACAAATTTAAAACGTTAACAAAGCAACGATCTATGCACACAATTTTATAAACTAAAAGTATTCTTGTTCATGCTTTATTGTGCGACAATGATGTTCATATTCTGCAGCACCAAATAATATTATCTTGATATACTAATAAAAAAAAGTATAATACACAAAATAAATGTAATTTGTTTAATTAACATGGCGTGCTTAATTAAATTACAGATGCCGTTCATTCGTATTAACAACATGAAACCAACGAAAACTATTAGATATCGAGTAAATAGCCACAATAACAAACACCAGCACTGTATTAAGAATATTCATATTTAATAAAATTAGGTATCGATCATAATGTTTGCAATTACCACACACTTGGCCCGATGGATTCTTCGAATTTAATAAGGAGGCACTTGGAATGTAATGTTCGATTGAAAATAGTCGAGGAGCATCGACGATTTAAGATGACATTAGATGAAAAAATAAAATTGACAATAGCTATAACCAATAATGCTGTGTCAATCAGCTGTGTGCTAACACTCGATTGACTCGAAGATACATTGAATAAAAATTTATAATCGCTGATTCAATGTTAAAAAGTGCGTTCGCGAATGAATTTAGCCAATGTTTATACGAACCGATTTGCGGAGATTCAGCAGAGGTGGGGAAGTGTTGGAAGTAGAGGGGGGGGAAAAGCAGAGGGAAGTTATGTTAGGTATACTACTGTACTGACATTGAATTTTCATCTCCGACTGTGTACAATCGTTATGCAGTTACGCTATACAATTATCATATCAAGTATGTAATAATTAATGTATTCGCGCTCATTACAAAACGTTTAGCGGCGAGAGACAAAAAGTAAGTAGGTTTAATCTGTAATGAAAATTTGATTGAACGCTCAACATACATTCATTCATAAATGTGTATTAATTATCCCAATGAATGATTATATTGGAAAATTAAATGAATATCAAATCATACACTTTTAATAATAAGTTGTAATAAATTAATTAATCACGAGATGTAATATATTAATATTATAATATACAGTGCTATGATAAATATTTACTAATCTTCTAATACCTTATGAATATCTGATTTACATTAACGTTCAAATAACTTGGCAGTAATATTTTATATAACATTAATCAATTATATAGAATATTGTTTTTACAATCCTCTTAACGACAACCATTTATCAATGCCCCGTACTTACCAATGTTTGCATAAATGCTTCATAAATAGTGTTTATTTGTTTGAAATTTATCTTTAACTATTTCTCGACCAAATTATGAACAACGACGATTTGTTATATATTATGAAAATATATCGATATTCAAGGGAAAAAATTATTACATATATTATATACATTACATATGGGATTAGTCAAGTAGTTTGTTACACGTGCATTGAAATTTCTTAAAGTTATTAACTTTGAAAATAAGCGAACCGTTAAGGAAAATTATGGCATACGTGATAAAACTAACGATTAAAAGAAAAAAAGAAGAAAATTCCCTTGTATACATTGATTTAAAATTAGATTTAAAAAAAAAAAAAAAAAAAAAAAAAAAAAAAAAAATAAATAAATATATACGCGCACACTTGTACTAACACAGTTGATTTTCTAGAAAAGTAGAAAAGTATCGGGGGGACCGAGACAGGTCCATCTGAATCTCGAATGAGGTATTTTTTTTGCAAACTATTCTTCTTAAAATTCTTCGAGCATTTAAAATGTACTTTTCAAGCAAATTTATAATTAATTTTCATTACAAATTTATAATTGGAAAAATAAAACCTGTATACGCGTACATGTAAAATTACGTGTGATGCTTTGTGTTTCTATAAAAAAAAAAAAATTGACAATTTGCATAAGCTACATAGATTTTAATTTTTGACCAACTAAATGATGGATATCATACGAAAATGAATGTGCCATCTCGACAATTAGGGCCCCCGAATTTTCGATAGGCGTAAATTTTAATAATATTGTTTTTAAAATAATATAAATCTGTAATTTACTATTTGGCTGACGCATTATTAATAGTTAGTTACGTGAGAATAAAAATTTGAATATTAAAACTGATAATGCGTTACCTAATTCAGCATTAAAATTTCAATTGATTATTTGTTGATTTTGCATCGACTTCATTCCGATCGATTTAATCTGAAATCGTTCTATTACTATAATCCAATATGTACTGTTTGTATGTCTGCTCATTATCGAACTTTTACATTATTGTATTGTATTGTAAGACTGTTAATTAAATTCTTAGAATAGGTAATTTTCAGAAACAATAATATTTATTATTTATGTTTGTTTTATGTATTGAAAATTTCCATAAATAATCTTGAACAATAGGGCATGAAAGCGACATATATTTATTATGATGTTTACTATTTAAAATATACTAATTAATATATATATATATATATATATATATATATATATATATATATATATATAGTGGTGACTAATTAACATTCAAGCTTATTTTGTTTGTATCTATTTGTATTTTATACATATAGGGCCTATCGCTTCTATTATTCAGTTTTACATTCACGAATGTTTTTCCGTTGTCAATTTTTAAAAGTACAATCAAATTAGTTTTGAAATTTTTTAAAAATATTTAATTTATCATTGGCATCAGATTATTTCATTTACTAATTTGTATTTTTAAAGGATGGAGTATAACTAGTCTCTGATTTAAATTCGTCTAATTTAACGATTTCTAATCATTTTAAACGTATTTTAAGTTATAGTTTTTGTAATTTATTTACATGTCTGCGAATTAATCAATTGAAAATTTAATTAATTTGGTTATAAAATAATTATAAGATGAAAATAATTATTAATTTTATTAAATAAACAAATTAATAATTTATGAACATGAAATTGAAGGTAATTCCATGTATGCATATATATATATATATATATATATATATATATATATATATATATAGCATTAAATATTCCAACGTATAATAAATGAAATAAAATCAAAAGAATATAAATTTAGAAAATTAATTTTATTGATAAATAAATTAAAACAAAAATTATTTTTGATATTAGTAAAAATTTCTTGTAAGTATATCATATGAGCGTTAGTTACACGAAGCATCGACAAACATACTAAAAGTTGGTAATTGAAAAAAAAAAAAAAAAACCAATTTCTAAATAAAATAAAGCTCATAGAAATAAAACATTGCACAATATAAACAAAATCAATTTTAAAAAGTACTTTTTCAAGGCATTAATATCAAATAATATAATTACAATAATTTAAAAAATTTAATACATCGTTACCTTTTTATTTAAATTTGTTTAATTTGATTATTTTCGTTTTAGTACTTGTAATTCTTTTGGAAATAATTTCTACTATTAAACAGAATCCGAGTGGACTATATTTTAAAGGTTGTTTATCATTTATGATAATTGCAGACTCTCGCAGAAAAAAATTGAAATCACTTATTTTGAAGTTGTTTTTATTTCAGCCACGTATCTTACAGCCAAGCAAAATTAAAATTAGATTTCAACAGATTGTAAAATACTTTCCTTGCAGAGCAAGATATATCATTGAACAAAAGAGGCCACGAGAACTTTTCAAAAGATTTAAAACTAAGATAATCAATGACAGTGACAGTTAATATTGCTCGAATAATTTGAAATTTCTTGATGTTTTGTATGCTATCGAGAATGTATTTGTAAATTATGGTGTTACTCGATTTAAATGTTACGCGTATACACAAGAATAGCACAATTCAGTGTTTGCACAATCCATTTTATATCTTGTCGACACATTTTAATGAATAATGTTTATATCTACTAACATAGGTGAGGGCAAACTGATTGATTGGATATACACAATGAATCGGGTATCTTAATTAATTCTTAGGTGTGTACGCGTAGGCTTGGAAATACTGATGCTACATGTGTTATTATTGGTAGGCAAAAAACGGAGCAGTTATAACATGAAAATTGGAAAATACTTGAATGTAATTCACTTGTTCTTTAATTCCTAAACTGTAATGTTTTACTGTGTAATTATAAAAGCAATTTGATGAAAGCACTAGAACTGAACAAGAGTAGACAATGCATTTACATATCGCGACCTGTTGTAAATACAAATATATTTATATGTCGCATGACACTCTTGGAAAACTTTTATACATTTATTTTACAGATAATCGATTAATGCTATTTATCTTATTTACATCCGGTCGTTCTTAATACTCTGTTCCTTTTTAGAAACTTTCTATAATCTTTTCATACATCAAGTCATGTGTAAATACAATAAGCCACCAATGTCCGTTTTATTTACTTCGATAACGCAATAGTATCTTGCTAGTAGAATAAAATTACTTTTTCTAATATGCATATTTATATTTTAATAATTGTTTGATATTGTAAGAGTAAGGAATGATTTGATAAGAATTTATCAACCTTATAAATCCAACTACTGGATTTGTTCTTATGTGTCTATATATATATATGCATATATATATATATATATATATATATATATCCAGTATTAGTATGAGTCTGTGGAATCTTATCTTTTTCAGATATTTAAAAAATACTGTATAAATAATTATATATGGAAATTAATATTACACCATAAATTAAATAGAATTATGTAAAATTGATCAATTATTTTGATTTCATGAGAAATTATCATTCTGACAAATTATAGTTGAAGGTTTTTCACATTTTAACCTGGGAAATTACTTATATTCATCTTATTTTAATATAAGAAAGAAAATCATATCGAATGAAAAATTAAATTTGTAAAAAATATTATACCAAATATTTAAATAAGCAATCAGATGCTTATGCACAAAACGCGATTTAAAAAAAAAAATATTCAATATGAAAATGAATCAAAAGAAAATATATTTTATATAATATATTTTATTTGTTAATATTATAATCAATTATTTTTTCGTAACTGCTTTTTTTGTTGGTTTTTCTGGTTTTGTTGGTTTTTCTGGTTTTGTTGGTTTTGCTGTCTTTGCAGTCTTTGCAGGCTTTACCGCTGCCTGTGCAGTTTTCTTTACTGCCTTCTTCAATTTGAAGAACGCCGTACTTCTTAAATTATTGCGGATACGTTTTGCTCTGCGAAGTTTAAATCGATCAAAATCGCTCAGTTCCAATCTCTAAAATGAAGATTACACATATGAGAATGATTTAAATAAATATAATAACACATATGTTAAATAAAGTACCTTTTTCTTTGCTTCGACTTTCCTTGCCCACATCGTCTCTTTCCACTGCTTGTCAATTTTACTATCGACCCATGCCTTACGTACAACTCGAGTCGAGCCAGTAAATGGGAACTTGAGACGAAATTTTGTAAGATGAAGATCGCTTAATCTCATTTGGCCTCGTGGAATTTTGGAAACTGGTCCATCGACCAGAACCTACAATTCGATAAAACTTTTATAAAGAACAGTCTATCCTTGCATCAATTTTGATTTAAATTATTTAAGAATTTCAGAAAAATATTTAGCTTCATTTATGTATCAGACGGCAATTCCTATCAAGAATAATGATTCATCACATTGAATATAATTAAGTATCAATTTCCAATAACTATACTCTTAATAAACGTAATGTATGTCAGTTTATTAGAATTAACTGTTAAGATAATAAATTTTTTTCTTTAAACTTACTCGATTTTGATCGATGATATCAACAATGCTGACCAATTTGCCCTGGTAAGGTCCATTGCTAACATAGGCAACACGTCCTGTCTCCACAAACCTTTTAAAAGGCTGAAATAAAAATTATCATTTGTATCTAATATGCACATAAACTGAAATTTGAAAGCAATCGTTTCATAAACTTTTGGAAAATTTAGGATTAACATCGACTAAATTGCCGAATCAATAATTTCATCGTTACAAAAACAAATTACTAGTTACTAGGCTCAGATTTAAATTACTAATAACTATTGACACGCCGCAATATAATAACGCAATAACATAATATTCAATTTAATAATTTCACAATATCCAAATTTTAATTTAACAACACCATGTGCTGTATGGTTTCGACAAAGAGGTTAAGTTATGAAAAATCGAATCTCAAAAATAATAAAAATAAAAATATGACCACGAATAATTACATAGCAATATAAGATTTTTCATTAATTATTAGTATGTGAATTTGCAGATGAAATAAATATATACATTAACAATCGAAAATGAAAGAAATGACCGAAGTCTTGGAGGAACGGCTCGCTTACCATGATTACCGGAAATGAAAGAACCAACCAGACTGGAGTTGCTGTGACGTTGTTCCCTATGGAATTAAAAAAATACACCTAAGATGTGAGACTACTCTTTCTATTAACAATAAATTGACTTCAATATTTCATCGATGTTCGTGAGAAGTAAAATTTTAATTGTGTAATATAATTTTTCAATGATTGATAATCGATTTTTTAATTGCAATAATCAATTATTAAGAGTTCCATATACTAAGCGTTCATTTTCCTGTTTAGTGAACCGGTAATTCGTCGTCAGTTACCATTCTTTTGTCATTGTACCTCGTTCCACGTCATTTTCAGTCTTAATATTTTGCCTTGTGCGCAGTAATTTTGTAAAATTTATTTAAGAAGTAGTGGGAATATATATTTTACAAGCGTTACATTAGCTTTTAGATATTTTTGATGTCCTATATGAAATTTGAATTTTGATTAAAAGAATGGAAGATAATCTACCAAATGAAATGTCACAATTAAATTGTAAGTTGGATTTCACCTCTGAATTTCGATGCCATTAGCCTTACTTACACACTAAATCATGAAACAAGTTTATCATTTCGTTCAACATTTTTTAATATTAATACTTAATTTATACATTAATTTTTGACAAAAATTATCGATATCGATATTAAATTTGCGTGTAAATTAATTTTTATTAAATTCAACTTATATTTATAGAATATGTTATAATAGGTTTAATAGAGAAACACAAGCAGTTACAAGAGAGATCAGCATTTAAATCGTTTTATGAGTCTGAAGAAATAGATGATAAATTAAACATTATCGGAAATATAAGCAGTTATAATGATGCAAAAGCTTACAATCATCAAGAAAATATGAATGCTTGCACAATGAGTAAAGTCTTTGTTAACCCAAATTATATGAGTAAAAAGAACGTCATTCATATAAATCCTCGTGTTCAAGTAAAACCTTCAATTTATATCAATCCAAAATTAATACAAAATATTACAAGTAATCAAAATCAAGAACAATCTTCGGGAATTATTGCACAGAATGATCAATATTTAATAAGTACAAATATCCATAACAAATGCTCCGTTCATATTAATCCAAAATTAATGAATAGATTTATTTCTAAAGTATCGGAAAAAAACCATGCAGTTCGATGTGACGATAATATTCTAAATAATCAAAATTTGTCCAATACTTCAATTGTGCCAATAACCCAAATTAAAGCAAATTCAACTTCTGGCTTAAATGAAAAATCTTGTATTCTTTCTAATATTAGAAATGATAGTTCGACGTGTAGTAATTCTGTTTCCAATGTAAAGTTATCTACAAATTATACGATTCAATCGAAAACCAAACTTGTGAATAATTGTTACAATTCTAGAAGAAGCTCGACTTCTAATTTAGTAGCATTGTCGCAAAGAAAACTTGTAAGAATAAAAAAAAATCCAAAATTAATTTCATCACCCGCGAGTACATCAAAATCATCGATTCATTCAAGAAGTAAACAGCCTTGCTCTGGATTTAAAAAGCTCAAAACTAATCAAAGGAATTTTGTTAATTCTATAAGCCAATTGTCAAAAATAAATAATACAAAACTTCTTAAGAATTTTGATAGGTATAAAGCAAATTGGTATAATAAGATTGATAAAAATGTATCAAAATCATGTCGAAGAAAAATAAGTGCGACAAAAAAAAATACGTATGTATCAAAGTATTCGTGGCTTAAACTTAATTATTTGGTATGCTCTATCAAGATTACTAAAATATAATTGTAAAATTACAAAATTGTTTTTTCAGAAATAATTTTCTTGGCTTGGTTTCTATTGGAGGTATTATGTACAAAACAAGTAGAAATCAGTTAGTTCGCAGCAATTCCAGTGTTTCATCACTAAAAAGTAAAATTTGACTATAATTTATGTTTAATACAAGTAATATAATTAAATTAAAATACATTATTTATAGGAAGACGTAATTTATTGTCAAATAAACATAGTCAATATTACGTTACCAAAAATGGCAAACAGCTTTTAAAAATAGATTTACCTAGAAAGAAGATTAATAATTCTTCAATTAAATTGAATACGTCTACTTCATCTGTCATAAAAAATTATAAGACTAACGCTAGGTAAAATAATTATGTTTTTATGTCAAATTTTGGACATATAAAATAAAATAAAATTTTTGTTACAGCAATAAAGTTAAGCAGAGAAGTTTACAAATATTACGTAATAAAATGCGTAAAAATAATCAACCATGTTTATTGTATCAAAGGTTTGGCTATTGCGCTAATCAATTGGCAGGAACTTGTCCTAAAGTACACGATAAGAAACAAGTTGCACTTTGTAAAAAGTAAATGATTACATTATTCTTTATAAATCCTTAAATAATTTGATTTCTCTTAAATTCTTTAATTAACTATTTTTATATTACAGAATAAGTTAATTAAAAGAAATATATGTATTCTTTCAGTACTGAATCATAATGCCTGCCTTTTAACACATTTAATTATTTATTATTTTATAACAGTGTGTAATTTTCAAAATATTTTATATTTTATATAAATATTATAAAGTAATTAGTATGTAAATTTTATGTTTCGTTTATAATTAAAAAAATGCAATCTTCTTGCAACTATGAGTTGATTGTGTGATTTAGTTTTCTTCAAGGCAAGTGCTTATTGGATAATTGCCAATTGTCACATAACGTTGGTCCAGAAAAGATGCCAACTTGCAAATACTTCCTTGATGGTTGCTGTACTCGTGATGGATGCCCATACTTGCATGTAAAGGTTTCATCAAAGAATCCAATTTGTGTTGAATTTTTAAGAGGCTATTGTCCACAGGGTAACGAGGTGAGAGAATTATCGTTATTAATTTTATTTTTCCAATGTTTCGTAATGTATTTGAAATGTAATTTATATAAAATCGAAGTTAAATTTTACTAATTTAAATTACACTTTGTATTTCAATTATAAATTAAAAAATTTCTAATAAGATTGTTTTAAATTTTGATATTATAATATTTGAGGGAAACAAATGTTTTGAGAAGTGGTTTATTCGATTACAGTGGAAATGCTGTAAATGAAAAACACTTATTATTAAATATGGAAAATTTTTACCAAACCACATTTCAGTTAGTGTAATGAAACAGTAAAAAAAGAATATCTTTTTTCAGTGTCAAAAACGCCATATACACGCGTGCCCAGAATTCGATAAAAGCGGCAAATGCAGCAAAGGTAAGTTTTGTCAATATCCTCACAAATCACACTTGACAGAGACAAAAAGATTTAAGATAACTACGCGACGCAAAAATAATGAGACCAGCGCCAAACAGTTGGAAAGAACATCATCAGAACCTGAAACTACAGAATGTAGAAAGCGTTACTATGACGATACGAGCGAAGAATTGAAGCTGAAACGGGAAAAATTATTAAAACGTGTAAAAATAATTAAAGATTTGTACACAGTACCCGTAAATTCTATTGAAAAGGATATTTCTACGGAACAAAGTACAGTTGAAATCGATGAAGGTTATACAAATTGTGAACAAATTTCGGAAGTGGTGCCTAATAGAACAAGACCACCTATTGGTCCTCTTCCGTCGTATATTCCAATAGACTAAATTATTTTAGATTTATATCTTTTATACATAAATACACAATGACAATTTATTAAGATAAATTTTAAAAATTTTAACGTGTTATAGTTTATTTATGAACTGTGATATACGATAATTATATTATAGAATTAAATTAAAATCATATTTTGTACCGAACGATCTAATAATATTACTTGCGTATAATTTTAATAAAGTATTTAGTGATTTGTTATATTTGGGAAAGCATGAATTATAAATTTATGAATCAATTCTTCGCTCGAAATTGAAATCTCATATCATGATTAATACAAAGTGATACATAAACACTAATTGTTGTCATAATATATAAACACATATATACGTATATTTTGTGAACCACTTTGTACATAAAAGTTGTATATTAATAAAATGAATATATTTAAAAGTAAATAATGACTTAATTACCAAATTTCTTATATTACATTGTTTTATTACCAAATTTTTATAACTTAGCTATTAGTAATAAATATTTAATTAAAATAAGTTTTATCTTATAATATTCCATTTTTCTTTTCATTATTGTACATATGTACCTAGTTTTTTTGATAATTATAAAATAGTAAAATAGGACAGTGCAGAAGTAAAGAGATATTTTCTTTACTAATCTGTGAAGATATTTTTATCCATTCGTTTAACCACATTTGCATATTATTTATTGACATGTTTACTGGATTGATACCTCTGAATAACAAAGCCTAAAAAAATGAAATATTTATTAATAAAATCTAATTATTATTATATGATAAAATGAAGGAAAGTTAAATGTGTGACGGCGTTTGTTTAAAAAACCTAACTACTTACTTAAACTTTTAAGTTATATTTGAAATAAATTGGAAATTTATGTGAAAATTAATAATAAAATTTTGTCTTTCTTAATAAATGAAATGGTTTTTTGACTGCGTATTTAAAATTATTGAGTTAAAATTGAATTAAAGGCAACAAGTTTTTTTAAGTACGTAGAATAACTTTTTATATATTAAATACGCTGCGTTAATTATTACAATATGTAATACTTTAACGAAGTTTTATATTAATGTGGACAATGTGTAATTCGATGCTATTTCATAATTAAAATTTTATGTATTTTTGGCAATGGTAAAATTGTATGCGCTTAAAATAACAATTTTAAAGGTACTTTAAGTTTAAGTAATGACTATGTTTTGAAAATGAAATTATTAGAAGAATAATTTTAAAGGATAATAATTCTTCTTCTAGAAGCAACATTACATTCTTATTTATTTCTATATTTTATTATAAGTATTTTTTTAAAAGCTTTGTATGTAATAAAAAAAAAATATATATATATATATATATATATATATATATATATATACATTAGTTATTTTAACTTAGTATATTAATTTAATTAACTAAATAAAAGCAATTAGATCTTTTGTTTAAATTCTATAAAATTGAAGATGTTCTAATGAAATATTTAACAATTTAATACAATTTGATTTAAAAATATACCCATTGAATTGTATTTTCAGATAATTTTGTAACACCTCCTTCTCTTTTAATTGCAATGTCCCAATGGTGAATTAATAACCCTCTTTGAAAAAGTCGATATCTATTTTTTAATCGAAATATACTCATTCCATGTATCTTAAGTAATTCTCTCTGAAACAATTAAAATTTATTATCAATGATAGTCATTTTATAAATGAAAAGCTGCATGGAATTATATTATAATTATAACATACAGCATGTTCACTCTTAATGCAATTCAACGAATAAGGAGATTCTGAAAATAATTTATTACAATCTATTATGTCATCTACTATTGGACGAGAGCCATTATTTAAATGTGTAATCACATTTTTAAATTTTATTAGTAATTGTTCATCGCTAATTGTTTCTATTTGACTTTCCATACATTTCATTAAAGCCTTGTAATGGGTTGATCTCGTTTCATAATTTTTTAACATAAATTTTTGTTTATCTTTTATTGTCCAAAAGTGAGATGTTAAGAATTTATGTGGAAAATAATATGCAAGTGGAATGATAATATAATTAGTAAAAGGTATAACTGCCAATACCATAATTGGAATAATCTTTGTAAGATCATTTGAAATTATACACATTAATTGCATTTCATTTTGGGTAAGCGCATTTAGTCCATGCTTCCTGATTTTCCAATATAAGCGTAAGTATTGCTTAATATCATAAAATAAATCCTTAATGCCATTTTGAAAGTTTTTGAAGAGGTAAATGGTTTTTTGAACATTTTTTTTAACAAAGTCTTTACAATAATATGTTACATCATTTATTTGATTTCTTACATCATTTCTATTTGATTTAAATAAATGGTTTCTCTGGATATTCAATAAGTTATGTCTTTGAATTTGAACATGATTTTGAGAAATTGTAATGTACGACGATGAACACAATAAACGGTTAGTTCGCTGTAGATTTAGATTTTTTATTGCAATTCTAAGCATATTACAAAATTATTAAAATCAAGGTATTATTGTTTATTATTTTATTTAACGGTACTCATTTGATGAATAATAAAAACACTTAATCGAAACTTGTTAAATCACTTGTCAATTTCAGGTCAACCTTATTTTAGTAACAATGTTAAATAATTATTATTATTTGTATTTAAAAGTAATTTTGATCTTCGCAGGTATCTAAAACACTGATTCTGAACACTTCGTACAATTATTATACATGCAAATTATTTATAATCAAAAGCCGAGACGTAGTCTTAATACATTTTCATCATTATTTCTTATTTTTCTATACGTAATGTTGTATTTTAATAGTTTAAATAATCAATCCTTATCAAACATTTAACGAGCATAATAATCAACACAATACGTTTGATTAGTACGTGTATATATTTGTTATTTCATAGCGCATTATACATACAATTTGATTAGTAAAACTAAAGCTTATTCGTTTTTAAAAAATTAGATGATAAATTAAACTTGAACTACTTATCAAATTAACCTTTATTACATGTGTCCTTTGTAATTGTGTTGTTAGTCGAACTGTAAACAATGCAACATTGGAAATCGTAAAAAAAAAAACATTCATGTCTCAATGATATATTTTAATTAATTATATTTTAATCAATTATATTTCAATTAATTATATGTCTTAATAATTATTAATTTTTTCATAATTCTACTAATAGCAGTATTCTTCTTATTGATCTTCGAATGTTTTAAAGTTATAATGATTGTATTTTTAAATTAAATTATATATATATATATATATATATATATATATATATATATATATATATATGTAGATATATATTTTGTTGTTGTTGCTGTTGTTGTTGTTGTAAATCTATTCAGTATATAACAAAGTTTATTTTCTATACTTTGTCATTTCATTTTTCTCTATTTTAGTGTGTTCGATTTATTAAATTCATTAAAAAAAAAAAAAAATGGTAATGCAAGTTTATGTTAGGTAATAATCTATTTGCTATTACATAAGTATTTATTAAAATGATCGACATACAATACAAATCAACCGTTCATAATACACAAATTTTAAGTTATTGAGAAAATGAGACGTGAAGATTTGATAATATCGCTTCTAGCAGCACTAGCGGTAATATTTTAAATTGTACATTTGAGCATAATGCAAAAATATTATATTACTAGACAGTTTTCAAATTCAGTATGAAAGACAATTTGAAAATTTGTATTCAACAATTCATATTTTAATATTAAATCCTAAATAATTCCATTGCTCTATACAATCATTTAATTCAAACATTATACTTTTTGTTTAAATGCTAATTGCATGATATTCGACTTAATTCCAATACTGTCAATAATTAACAGAAATTTACTTGAATAATATTGAATAATATTGATTGCTTTCGATCAGTAATTAATTCATATTAGGCTTGTAAAAATATCTGTATCATTTAATTCTGTTTGTTTTTTAGTTAACAAAAATTATTAGTAGCTTATTCTACCTGTGTATAAAAAAAAAAAAAAACAAAGACTTTTGTCTTTGTAGAAAATATTAAAAAATTGAATAAGTAAAAGATTTTAATAGTAAAAAAAAAATACATTTAATTAAGGATAAATCATTAAATATTATTTTAAAATGACTTCAATAAAATTTTTTTTAATAAAATAATTCTTCAATTATTTGGTATTTTTAAGAAGAAATAGCAAACGACTTAAAAAATTCAAAATCTTATACAATAACGATTGTAGTTTTATTTGAGAAAAAAATCTATGACGATTAATATTTCAAGATAAAACGTTGGAAGGTTGGAATATTTCGATCATTTTTATGGTTTTCAATCGGTATTATTCATCTTTATTTATGTAATAAATTATGTGTTATGAATATTTGTAGATTTTAACTCTGATTAGGTGATAGAGAGAGAGAGAGAGAGAGAGAGAGAGAGAGAGAGAGAGGAGAGAAAATTTGTTATTTTTCATACGAGTGTGGGCGCGCGCGCGCGCGCGCGTGTGTGCATTAGAGTTAAAAAAAAAACATAGTCTACAAAAAACTTGGAATAAAATAAAAAAGATTTATGGTAAAATAATAAAACTTATTTATTAACTTTTTATTATATTTAATATAGTTGTTCAACGTAGATTTTTTTATATAAGAGAACAGTCTCGTATAAATCCGATGTAAAATATTAAAAATTTCTAAATGTATGTACAACTTCATTATTTATTTAACGATTATAGATTTAATTTAATTATTAATTTAAACGATGTCAAGTCAACTTAAGTCAACTGACAATTTAATTTGATATTTATTTTAAGTGGACAATGAAAATGAAAGGTATATTACTTTAGATCAAAGTGTATTATTAATTTAATAAATTGAATAGCTTAAAGTCTTTAAATTGTTAAATGGTGAATTACATTTTCTAAAGTTGAGTTACTTCCATTAAGATGAATATATATTTAGACAAATAAAAATTTATAATACCCGAATGCATGTAATAAAAGAAATTTCTCATAAATATGTGAAGTTAACGTAGACACCGTTTCATTTTTTTTTTTTTTTTTTTTTTTTTTTTAAATTGTCTGTTGATAACAATACAACAATATATTCCTAACCCAGTTTATAGTATCATGTCGAGGTCATCAATTTAAAAATTCTAGTAAAAGTCGCGAGTAGTTACACACTCAAGTTTTTACCGCAGCTAAATTTTCTTAACTCCTTCGTCAATCCTAACTATCTGTTACTTTTCAACTAGTAATTGATGGTAATTATTTTGCCTGTGCGTAACGTTAACCGCTACATCATTGGTTATATTTTAAAATAAAATCAAATAATAAAAATATGAATCTTTTTATATTAAATAAATTGAAGAATTTTTGACTTCATTGAATATATATTGAGAGTTTATAGCATATCGAATCGAATGTTTCTTTTAAAATTTCATTAAATAATTTTACATTATGATATATTTTTAATATTCAAGTATTTTTAAGTTTATCTATTGAAATTCTCTGATAATGCCTATTACTAAGGATGAGGTAATGTACACAATGTAAAAAATAAACTGCTTAAGCCTTTTTCTGATGTGCAAATAATTACCTTTGGTTATAGCTTTACTAGCTCAATCTTTGATATATTTAATGAACATGAAATAAGTGTGTATATTTCATTAGTAAACAGAAAATGTTTTATTTTTTAATATGCTGAGCAATTTTGCAAATGAAAGTTCATATTTGATCTTATATTTTACCAATAAAAAAAAAAAAAACTAGATTACGATATCATTTGAAACACTTTTTACATTTGAGTATTTAATTTTTTTTTTTTTTTTTTTTTGTTTGTTTAATACAGCAAATTTATTTTTTAAATTTCAATTCATTCAATTTTTGTTGTGTACAGTAATCTTTGTGATTGTCTAATTCGGTAAAAAAAAAAAGCTTTATCTATACTTTTATTTATTTTATATATTTTTTAAAAATTTTTAAAAATATTATTTATAGAAAAAGTGTTAAAGTGTTTGTTTTTTTAACTCTACAATTACATGACCAATTTTAGTTCGTACATATATATATATATACGTCATTCAAAATTATAGTTTGCTTATATATTAATTTTTCATACAGAAAATTAATGAATCAACTATGATAGAAATTTTAATCGAGTTATAAAAAAAGTTATTAAAAATTTTACAGAACGATAGAGAAGTATTTGAGTATGGATGCATCGTGTGATTAATACGAGTTTTTGTTTGTTTTTTTTTTCATTTTTTATTTTTAGAATTCACACTGTCCAACTTTAGACAATATATATATATATATATATAATATAAAAATATGTATGTATTTATGTATGTATACAAAATATTTAACGCAGTTAAATGTAAATTTATATATTTAAATATTTAAGAGTGTTAATTATTTATACTCCTTTTTATTTTTTAACTTTTAATTTTATATCAATCATATAAACTTCAAAATAAAATATATTTTTTTTTTTTAATAAAAATGGCCATATTAATAGTAAAAAGTTAATTAAGCAAGCTTTACTTAAACAATGAATATAATAAATAAAATTTTAAATTTTAAATATGTATATTAATTTTTGTGCTAACTACTTTATTAAATTATTTATGTTGTTACGTTATATATTTTACAATTTTTATAGTCGTCGAATATTTTTTTACTAATAATCTAATTAATTTTTATATTTTAAATGCGTAACAATTGGAATTTTATTGTTTGCCTATTATTTGATATGTATTAAACAATTTTCTTAATAAAAGAGAATCCTTTTGTTGTAAAATCTTGTAGTTTGACACATATGCGACAAAATGAGAATTAAAATTGTGATTAAGAAAATATGAATGTTACAAAATCATAGAAATTCAAAAATATTTGTATATATTTATGCGACTTTAATCAGTTTAAAAACTGTTTTCTAAAGTGCGTAGGGAATATTTACATTTTTATGTATTTCAAGCATTATATTTCAATATTTGCTATGGAAAATTAAAAATTTTGTATGTGTTCATATATCGTTTGATAGCATAACATAGTATTTAATTCAAAAAAAAAAAAAAAAAAAAAAAATATAAATATATATATATATATATATATATATATATGTAAAATTTAATTGTGCAAATCTTAGTAAAGGTAAAGCAAAGTGCAGTATTTTCTAAATATTTAACTTACTGATTATAAATACAATGATACGCTGTGTATTAATAAATGAAAAGAAAATGAGATTGAAGGAATTTTCAGGCTGTCTTTAAATTTGAATAATAATACGTAAAGATAGCAACAGCTTATATACATTTATTTTAATTTACAGGAAGACGCACTATTATAATTAATATCCCTCCTAAGATAATATAAATAAAATATTATGGATTAAATGAATGTTTTAATTTTGTATAGACAGTCTAATGTAATACGAGTAGCGAGTAGCAATGGAAAAAACATTAATTTTTCAAAAATATCTACATGAAAACAGAGTGTAAGGAAACTTTAGTTTCTTATTAAACAGGGACTAAACCAGTTGTGCTCATCTCAACAAATCTACTGTAAAGGCTCGATATTTATTATTGAACGCATATGAATTATATTCATTTTGAATATTATAGAGGGTTTACGCGTCCATAGTGACAGGAGAAAAAGCAGTTGACGTAAAATTATTTTATATAGAGTTGTATATTTGCTTGTAAAATGTAAAAATTCGAAAAAGAGTAGGCATTTATAGTAAAGGAGAAAGACCTCCGCTAGACGTCGCTGTCTTTTACAAAACGCACCGTAGGCACTTTAAAATCTCAGTTCCCTGGACTGTTCGTTTCAGATAAGACAGTTTCTATCCTTTTCTTTTATACTAATACACAAAAACATACATTTTCGTTTTTTACATTTACTTTTCTTAATTGTCCTGACTGTCTATCTGCTTGCCCTCCCGTTAATCCTCTTTTACTTTTTCTTGCTCTCTCTCTCTCTCTCTCTCTCTCTCTCTCTCCCTCCCTCGCTCTTTCTCTCTTCACTCGCTCACTCACTCCCGCCCTATCAATCGTTCTCACGTATGCATACACGCGCGCGACCACGCACTCTTTCATCTCCCCTTTCTTTTCCCCTCTCGTTCTAGCTCTCTTTCTCTCTCTCCCACTCCCCCTCCTTCCCTCCCACTCACCCACTCGCCCGCTCAGTCTCTCTCTCTCTCTCTCTCTCTCTCTCTCTCTCACTCTCCGTTCAGTCTATGCTCTCTTCCTTGTTCGAAATCTCGAGTAGATCGTAACTCAGAACTTGTAATTCGAATCTGTATTTGTGTTCGTATTCGCACTATCGGTTGTATCGTAGTGTTGTGCATTTTTGCAGAGAATTTTATCTTCGTCCCGCGGCTTTAAAGATCTGCCTTATCTTGCTCTTGGGCACAAGTTTGCTCAAACTCCGAGGAAGAAAGTGAATACATGTCTCACTTTCTCGTTCTCCGAAGAGATGCAATTGTCGTGACTGACGTGCAGTCGCTGAACGACATGATCAAGAAATTGTATATATATATGCAACATTGACACCGGGAACCAACCGCACCACCACAGTAGAGACGCGCTTGATAATCGAGCAGCCGGTTAACTTTCGTCGGAGCGGTTGTACGTTTGAAACATACGAGGAGAAAGATGCGTTAAGCTCGTCGCTCGGCCTTTCGCAAAATCACTGTCTTTTGTAATAATTTGCACAATTTGTGTGTAAGTTGAAATTGAAGCGAGACTGTCGAGAATGCGAGAACGCCTCTTCGAATCGAAGTTTTTCTTTTCACTTTCTTTCTTCCTCGCGTCTTTCTGCCTTTAATAGAAAATTTTTTTATTCGTTATTTTCAGTGAAGAGGCTCGTTCGACCCAAACTTCGAAATCCTGGAGAATCGGATTTCGCGGTGTTTCAGGAAAATCGACGATTGGATTGTGTATGTGGTTAAACCAACGGATTACCCAAATTATTCACGACCTCCAAGTTTTAAAGTACTATGACTAATTGACCGTTTATTTGGTGCTGGAGGAGCGTACATTGATCATTGGTCGATTGATATTTTACAAGTCCGATAGTCAAGTGTAGATGGGTCGCTGGCTCATGTTCTGTTCAGCGAGCAGCATTTTGTCAAAGTGGCAACATGTTTGTGAAGAATATTCAAGGCACAGGAGAGACTGCTATGAATGTTGACTGCCCGCTACAGGCCAGTCTTAAAAGATCCAGCAGTGCTCCAATGATCAACGAAATCAGTGCTACGATGTCGGTTACTTCGCCTTCTACTACGGCTCCACCTAGGTAATTGGTAACAAAAATTTGCCTCGACAACGTGAAGTTGTAATTTATAGATTGTAGTTTGTAGTTTACACAATAACAATTAGATCGATAATGTATTAATCGAGTAGATCTATAATTATTGTGATAAGCTGTATTATTAATATGATTTTAGGGATGCCGTTACGTCATTTAATGGGTTCTCAAGTATACCTAGAGCAAGAAGATTTAGTACAAGTGTAAGTTTAGATCATTCAATTATACCAATTAGTTATTGATTATATGTACAGTGTAAACGTTATGACATACGATGACAGTACGACACGTATTCATTGATTTTGGTACGTTGATTATCAGCGGTATTGAAAATATTGAAAATATTGAGAATATTGAGAATATTGAGAATATTGAATATATTGACAGAAAAGAGAAATAAATATTAATCTTATTGGAATTTACTAAATATTTTGAATTTTTGTATCAAAGCAAAAGTACTCCACCGACTATCCATTGTCCAAGATAAACGTACTCATTTCCTAGATCGCAGCAAACATCAATTTCCTTAAAAATTAATTTAAAAAAGTAATTCAAACTGGATTTATGAATAATTCATCAAAACTACTATTAATGAATATATCTGCTTTAATTAAGTATTTAATAGTCTTACAATTTACGTTTCAAACTCATTCGATTATAGATATATATATATATATATATATTACACTTGTCATTTTTATCATTCCTTAAAAAATTTTGTTTTTCCTCGTATCGTTTAGATACGATGGCATTTATATATAGAAGATGTTATAGCATCTATAACCATTGAAATAATTTATGACATACGTTTCTCAATAGCTGATAATTTTATTAAATTTCTGCTTTATTATAAAAAGGATAAAATAATATCTGGATTTTATGAATTCAAAATACTTTATTTGAGATGGAAATTAAATTAGTCGAAGCTTTACTTTTATTCATATATTCATCATAAATTGAATCACGATAATTTTATTATTTCAGAGTCCAGGCAATGTTATTGGGATAGGAATTGGTCCTAAATTAACACCAAGAGTTAACCAATTGAGACGAGAAGAATGTATCGATGTAGTGGCAGGACGAGAAGTGGCACACGAGAAGGAAATTCACAGTGCAATGCAGATCTCCCAATCGTGGGAAGATTTGACTTTTGAAACGGAAGGACTGTCGTTTAAAGACTCCTCAACGGAGTCGTCGCCTTTGCCAAATTTACCAACAACAGCGCCTACATTATTACCACAATTAAAAACCGATAAACAATTAATTCCTAAAAAGATCTTTGATCCGCTAAACTTAAATCTATCACCTAGTGGCTCTCCGTCATGTTCTTCACCCTCTCCCACGAGATCAGGCTTAGGTCAACGACAGTGTTATTCACCCAGCTTACATGCAGTCGCATGGAAAAATGGTTCGCTATCGCCTAGTCCAACGAGAAAAGCATTTGCCACAAGGTAATAATAAACTTAAACAGTAATGAAGTTACGATAAATAATTCTAATTCTTGAAATTTAATAGAATAATTTTTATTATTAAGAATTAATGTTAGTTAGGTCTAATGTTTAAAGCAAATGCTTGTTTTTAATGTCTCAGACGGAGCTTGAGCCCGATATCAATTCGTCCGAGTTGTCTTGGGGGCACTGCGGGAACATTAAAACGAAAATTTGAGCTTGACGAGTCTATAGGAATGGATCGTCTCTTACAGCCACCCATCAAACGTGCTTTTAATTTAATAATGTCTTATCCATCCAGGCAAGTTGTGAATTGCAATTATTTTTGTCATTTGTAGGTAATTTGAGCAATCAGTATGTAAGTTAATATATTTTGATATATTATTTCTTATGTATCGATCGTTAAATTTTGATAATGAAAATTACATACAGTCTTACAGTATAATGAGATTATAGTATCGTATTAATAACTTTGATAATCATCTAATACTAAGATCAAACGAGAAAAATGCTTTTTATCTGTCAGTTAGGAAAATCTTGTGAGAAAAATGTGTCAAGTTCGATTGTTTGATTAATTTTTAGGGCAGAAACAACACTGAATTTGTTTTCGACGGTAAATGCCAATAGTACTGGCTCCATTGGCACCCCTGAATCACTGTCCAGCGCGGACTCCCCGAACTTCTCGAATCAATTGGGAGACGAGAACAGCCCTTCGTCCAGTCGTACCCTTTTACAGAGCGACGATGCGAGCATGTCAGATAGCAATAGTGATCCACAGCAACCAAAATCAATGGAGTCTGACGTATCAAATATTCAGGAAAATCCCTGTGGAAATGACAATAGGTGAACAATTGCCGCTACGAGACATGTATGCGTACCGTACCCTAAAAGCTTATTTTCTTCGTTAAATAAAACTTGTTCGAAGAAATGTGCGCGCGCTTTTTTTTTTTTTTTGTGTGCGCGCGTGTTCTGTGTCTGTCCGCCTGTGTATGAGTGCGTGCATGTATGTGGGTGGGTGTGCGTTGGGAATTATTAATTATAAAAAGCGCGAGGCACGTGCGTATACACATTAGCATTATATACAACCTAGTCGATATACATGAATGTAAATGGTGCGCTTCGTGCACGAATAATGGCGATTTGGTGAAATGACATGTACCCGTGCTAACTTAATCTAATATCAAATTTAAGATCAATCGATACTTTATATTATCTCTATCTTGAGAATACGGACAGCTTTTAAAAAAATATACAAAATTCCAGTTGTTAGAGTTTAGTAACGATCAAATTTTTTAATTTTAAATCTGCATGTGAAATTTATGTATTTCTTTGTAAGCCTTACATTAGGTTAATTGAATTAATGTAGATATTATACAATATTAATTCTTTATTTTACTTCAAAAAGTAAATGCATTCAATGAACAGTTGTAGTCATATTCGCTAATTATTATAGGTTTCTGTTATACATAAAAATTGATTTACTTATTATCGAAGTTTATTTGGAATTAAGTAAAAAATTTTGGAAACTTTAAATAGAATAATTATAAACTATTAGTTTTTATTATTATTATCATCATCGTCGTCATCATCGTCATCGTCATCGTCATCATCATCATCATCATCATCATCATCATCATCATCATCATCATCATCATCATCATCATCATCATCATCATCATCATCATCATCATCATCATCATCATCATCATCATCATCATCATCATCATCATCATCATCATCATCATCATCATCATCATCATCATCATCATCATCATCATCATCATCATCATCATCATCATCATCATCATCATCATCATCATCATCATCATCATCATCATCATCATCATCATCATCATCATCATCATCATCATCATCATCATCATCATCATCATCATCATCATCATCATCATCATCATCATCATCATCATCATCATCATCATCATCATCATCATCATCATCATCATCATCATCATCATCATCATCATCATCATCATCATCATCATCATCATCATCATCATCATCATCATCATCATCATCATCATCATCATCATCATCATCATCATCATCATCATCATCATCATCATCATCATCATCATCATCATCATCATCATCATCATCATCATCATCATCATCATCATCATCATCATCATCATCATCATCATCATCATCATCATCATCATCATCATCATCATCATCATCATCATCATCATCATCATCATCATCATCATCATCATCATCATCATCATCATCATCATCATCATCATCATCATCATCATCATCATCATCATCATCATCATCATCATCATCATCATCATCATCATCATCATCATCATCATCATCATCATCATCATCATCATCATCATCATCATCATCATCATCATCATCATCATCATCATCATCATCATCATCATTATTATTATTATTATTATTATTATTATTATTATTATTATTCATTGTTAATGTCGATCAATAATTATTCAGTTTGCTGAGAAACGTGTTTAATTGAATTGAAGTCTGTAAAATAACGTCTCTGTGTATTATGAGATCGATATCACTTCAAGATTGGTAAATATCAATTAAATTATTGTCATGTATCAAAAACATGAAAAGTGTAAACTATAATTCATGTAATCAAGTGAGTTTTTAAATGGGCTCCTTCATCCTACATTATTCTCCTATTCAAGATCGTTACACCTTGTACAAACTATTGCATATTATTGTAATGGAAACATTAATTTTCGATAATTGTCTTACATTAGTTTTCCCCAAGGACTTAACAGTCTATTTAAAATGGTTAAATCTTTCATATTATATAATTATACAATACTTATTAAATAAAAATTAATCAATTGATTATCAGATATGATGGCTTAAAATCGCAATAGATATCGCTATGTATAACATAGTTTCAAACTATATAACTTGAAAGTATTTAACCAAAAAGTAGATTATTAATGTAGTAAAATTATATCGTTAAATTTCTACTAGAAATATATATTTCTATATTGTGATACCCTTTCAAAAAATTTTTGGTTAAATTTTTGTTCCTTTGCATATTTTATTTTAATTTTAGAGAAAAAATAACTTTTATATTTGCAAATTTTCTTTTTTAAATTCGTAGACAAGACATTTTAAATTAATAGTATTTAAAGCTTTTACTGTATTATTTTATTTAATAAGACTTAAGCAGTTTAAATATATATATATATATATATATATATATATATATATATATATATATATATATATATATATTATGTATATTAAATTATTTAATACAATTTATATAATTTTGTAATTTAATATTTATTAATTAATTGCTTTACACTATGTGCTCATATTTATATCGTCAATGTACTTATAATCAATTTTGCTTAATTAATTTGATTATTTTCTATAACTTATAACATTCATTTTAATTTAACTTTTAAGACAAAATAAATTGCCATATCGTTTAATTTAAAATATTAACGAAAACTATTACGTAGCCAAGTATTTTATCCATTAATAATATTTGTTTATTTATTTAAAAAAAATTTTATTACTAACAGACTGACTAAAGTAGTTTTTATCAACATATTTTATGTGTCTTTACATAAAAAGAGTGAAACGAAGAAACAATCGATGATAGCTTTATACGAATTTAAAGTTGTTCTTGCGTAGGAAGCTCTTCCAATTTATGGATGTGTGTACGTCTCTTTAATCTATTTGTGCTATTCTTTATAATTTCATAATTTCAACAATAAATGGATACTCAGGCTATATGCTAAATAGGCAGTAAATTAAATAATTTATACAATTAAATTTAATGACACGATACATTTTTTTGAATTGTACATGCATAGTTTTATGTAGTAAAGATGTTAAATTATTTTAAATTATCCAATAGCATGGGTTTGCCAATCTTTTTATTTTAATTATAAGATAATGATGGATTTTTAATTAAATTGCGTACGTTTGATTTGTATAATGAAAATGTTGAAATATTGAGCGGTGACTGTTAAATATAATTTGGTTGTAGTACAAAAGTGTAGAGGTAAGTGTAATTTTAAGTATTAGATTAAAAAAATTTGATTTTTATTTTTAATTAAATGAATTTCATCGAAAATTTATTTCAGACGATAATTAAACAAATAATTAATAAATTTTTGTTCAGAATGCTTATTAAAGTAAGTTTGTTAAATATACTCCCATGCATACAATTTAATTGTATTAATATATTCATTTATATACATATATTAACACATGTCATTTATAAAATATTTTTTAATTCAATGATATTAGACATCTGGATAATAACAAAATCTCTCAAATTTAGTTTGAATAATAAAAATGATCGCTTGACATTGATATGCAAAGAAATTACGTTTACTTGAAATTATAACTTAAATAAGATAATTTTGATAAATTATGAAGATAGAGGTAATGTTTACTTTTTTTTTTGGTCTACTTCAATATTAAATTTTGATACATCAACATGAGACAATTATATTTGTTGTATATATAAAAAAAAAAAAAAAAAAAAAAAAAAAAAAAAAAATAGAATACAAATGTATAGAAAATCTTTTATTTGTATTTTACAAATTATAGTTACAAAAATTAATGATAATGTTACAATTCATACAATTAAATTAAAAATATATTAAATTATGTATTATTTTGAACCTTAACTATTTGTACTTTAATACAACATACGTAAATAAATACGTTGATACATGTATAGATAGAATTCCGAAATATATTCAGTATTTTATCATAATTTTCCTATATCGTACAAGAGGAAATGAAAAATATTTCATATAAAATTATTTCCTTCGAATACATGTAAATTTGTATTTATACATTTTGATTAAAAATAGCTTTAAGCCTATTACCTATAGACGTAAAAATTTTACCCACGTTTTTTAATGTTAAAATATGTTCATTCGTTTCAGACTGCTTAATTTTTTCTACATAAATGTCGTCATCGTTTACGCCAGACCCAGTATTCATAATATCATTTGTACTTATCCTAGTTGTCGGATAATTATTTTGATCAACCTATTAAGTGACGTATAATTATTAATTATAAAACAATGAAATTATCATTTATATATATAATTTACATGACAATAGCACTTACAATTTGTAAGTTAGACGCATTATTTTTCGTTACATGAAAAACATTATTTCTATTTGGAGTCTCGATTTTGGAATTTTTTTTCTTCAACCCATCGATCCAAAACCGTAATTTCTCTTTGACGGTAGGTTCAACCTCAACTGGCGCTCTTTTAAAGCGTTTGAACGCGAAACAAAAATTCGAATTTTCGGAAGAGAATACGGATTCACTGTCTTGATTTACATATACTATCTTAGAATTGTCCGCCAGTGGCTATAAAAAATAATTTTATTAGATTTTAATATTTTAGTTATACTTTTTACATAGCGAGAAAAGTCGCATATATTATTGTGCATAAGTAAATAAATATTAAAATAAATGATTGACATTTTAATTTAAAATTTGAATTTACGATATAATAATTGCACATGTATAAAGTAAACCAGATTTTTTATTATAATTATTTTTATATAATAATAATAATAAGAAGAAAAAAAAAAAACATAAATTTCATAAACTTAAAAAGCAAACTATTTCAATTAATCTTATATTAATATATAATACCTTAAAATCAATGTAAATTCGCTAAAAATAACGATAAAATTAATTTCTCTTGTAATATTTTCGTTTTTTTTATATTTTGTCGATACTTTAAATTCTATTCTAAACTGAATATACATCTAAATTATTACATAATTTATTTTAATAAAATATTAATTATTTCATAACAGTATATGTTAGAAAATTATGCTTCAACTTTCATAAAAAAAAAAAAAAAAAAAAAAAAAAAATTCAAAAAACAAAAAAAAAAAAAAAATTCCATAACCTAATAAAAACGATAAAATGAATATTGAATTGAAATTAAAATATTAATTAAGATTTTAAACAAATATAAAATACATGAAACGTAAGTGTTTGAAAGGTAGAAATATAATATATAAATAATTTTCTATGTATACTGCTCCAAATACTGTAAATTCATATTTTCTAATAAAATATTTCTATATTATACATAAATTTAGTAAAACCTATTTAATAAAGGTTTTTTTTTATTTTATTTATTTATTTATTTTTTTTTTTTTTTTTATTAAATTTTAATTCTTAAAAATATAACGCATACAATCTTAATCGTAATTATAATATTATTACAACTTTTTATCACAATTATTAATTAAAGTAAAACAATAATCATTTCTTACCTCAATTGCTTCATTAATCGATAATGGCCTTTTCTTTTTACACCGCTTTTCAATGAAATTTTCTTTTTCAATATCTCTTATTCTACGTACAGGTATTCGTGCACTGCTATCCTTTCGTAAAGTTTTTCTGCACTCAATATACTATTTATTAACAAATAAAGATTAGTAGACATTCATTTATTAAATCATAATAAAAAATATAGTTGTAAATGATGACTCTTACAATCAAAAGTCTACTTCTTAAGTTCAATTATTTTCAATTGAAATTTTCTACTTAATTTTATATGAGGGGATCTTAAATTTCTATTCTCATAAATCTACTGCCCTAAGATTGCAGAATCTTTATCATGGTATAATAATAATAATAATACTAATAATAATAAAACTATTTTATTAAAACTTGAGCACTACATAGTTTTGTTCATAATAATTCCATGAAATCTTTCACAAGACTTTATCATAATATATTATCAACTAAGTTTAAATACAAAAAAAAGAGAGAAAAAAATTCATTCGTCAAGGCAATAGATTAGAAATCAAAAAATTTTTTTTAAATATCTATTTAGTTAGCGTGCTGTAATCATTGTCTGCTTATTTAGTTTGTATATAAAATATTTAACTGATATAAGATATTAAAATAAACAAGAATACTAAATATAGAACTATATACGATTTATATTCACATTAAAAGTAAAATGAACGAAAAAAAACCTTATTAATGTAAAAATATTGATTTATTTTTCAGTTCTTTAATTTATAAAAATATTTTTTATGCCACTTGATTTGCCAGATTTTTTATTTACCTTGTTTACAGCTGCTTGTAATTCTTCGATCCAAGCTTCACTATCTCCATTTTCCGAATAAAGTAATAACGTTTCTTGTATGCAAATGACTTTGAAAAGTCCATTACTGAGTACTCGTTCAACTTTGCATTTATTTAATGGTAATAAACAGCATATTGTCAATGATTCTGGATTACCTTTACAATAGAGTAAAGTGTCACTAAGAAGAACAAAGTGTCTTCGAAAAGACGTATTACCACGCCTTGATACTCGCATAAGGGGTCCTTGACGAATTAATTTACGTCCTGGTTTGATCAAATTTATTTGACCAACGATATTTTTCTGGAGTTCTAAAAGTTTTTGTGCATCTTCGTATTCCGCGACAAGGAAGTTAATGTGGGTTGCCACTTTTTCTATTTCTACTAATGATGCTAAAAATATTTATAAAATTAATAGATTTACTCTCTTATTACGTTAAAACATAGCATATTTTGTAATCTTATTTTTAAAAAAAGTTAATCGAATAGAATATATGTTATTATCAGTAGCTTTTTCATTTATAAATTAATTCATATATTTTATCACTGTGTAGAACTATCATACAACTAACGTAATATTAAAATACTATTATTTCAAATTTGTCGTAGTTGTATTTTAACTATTAATTTAATAAATAACTAAACTAAATAATATTTATATAAAATTTTTCAAATAATTCTATGTAAATTGTTTTCTGTGCTTTTTATTCTGAATAAATATAATATTAATATATTTATGAAAGCATTGAAAGTAAAATTTCTTTTCTATGCTAGAATATATTATATATATATATATATATATATATATATGAATGCAATAACAACATTTAGTTCTCAGAAAATTTAAATTAAAATCATTTATAATAATAAATAATTAGAATAGAATTAAAAATTTAAAATGTATAAGGAATTTAATTGTAAATTTAATACATCGGATTCATTACTCTTTGACATAATATTATTAAAAATTGTCAAATATATTTTATTTTTAATATTGACATGCATTCATTTATAATGGACATGATCAATCGGTCAATTGAAAAATATATTTTTAAAATCCCCACATTCTCACATTATAGTAAATTAATTATTCACAAAGCATATTAAAAAATGGAATTAAAAAAGTCGTAAAATCTAATTTAATAAAAGTGCTAAAAAAAAATTTATTTCATAGAAAAATGTCAAAGTTGAAGATTATATTTATAAGCAATTAAAATGTAAAGAGAAATGTAACAATATTAGAATATGTAAACAAATTTTTAATTATTTAATTCAATAAATATAATATCTTCCTATTTATTAACAATTAAACAGTCATTGTTGTATTAAATAATAATTTTAATGCGTAATGTATTCATATAAAATATATTTACTTTCGTAAAATTAATTTTATTTATTAAATATTTTTGTCAGAAAATTTTTTTATTTTTAAACTTAAACCTCAAAAAAAAAAAAAAAAAAAAAAAAAAAAAAAAAACATTAAATTTCATTAAATTTGCCAATTTATAAGAATAATTTACAGAAATTTTTAAATAGTTTTAATATTTGTAATAAAAGTGTTTGATGTCTAATTTATAAATTTCAATTTTTTCATGATTTTTGTGTGCTTTAGTTACTTTAGTAAAATATTAAACAATAACAGATCATAGATGTGTGTGTGTGTGTGGGTGTGTGTGTGTTTTCTTTCAAAACAATTTAGAATTACATATTAGGTTAATACAGTAGTTTTACACACACGCGCGCGGGCGCGCACATACGCCAATGCACATTTACAATTGATGATTCGGATGAATGTAATTTTGTAAAATGGCAAGACGATTGGCAATTAAAAGAAATTAAAATGTTAATATTTAACGAACCTTGTAGTATAATGTAATCTTGTTGTTTAGGTATCGTATGCCGTAAAACTTCTTTCAAAAGTAATTTGTATCTTGGTACTCTTTGAATCGGTGCTATTAGCAAAGAAGACAATTTATTACTGACTTCTGGTCTCGTTTCTTGACTTGTTATAAATTCGGCTATTGTCGAATAATTTTGTTGTATTTCCTACATTTAAATAATTTTTTTCCACGTAAATTTAAGATAAATTGTTATAAAATTTAAAACTATAAAGATTTACGAACAAAAAAAAAAAAAAAAAAAAAAAATATAACTGGACAGTATAGAAACAATCGTAATTCAAATTATTATTTGTAGGTAAATATTTTTATGGAATTTTTGGATTTTAAATAATAACACAATAAAAGTAATTACTATTAATAAACAAGTTGATAGTATTCGATGAACGGTTATTTAATAAATACTTACATGCATTTATATTTGATAGCATTCATGTGCAAGTATTTCTTTTCAAATTAATGTTTTATCGTAAAATTTTATATTCTTTTTACATATTCGAACGTATTCTAAAGTAGATAAGCTAAGCTAGATAAGCATACACCGAAAATATTATAACAAATGCTTTAAACTAAATCTGTCAATTAAGATAAAATTTCTTCATGATTGCTATCATTGAAGAATAAAAAGTATGTAATGTAAGGGATCGATATTACTCTTTACTACAAATCAATAAAACTGTTGAATACAAATGTTAGAAACAAAAAATTCTTAAACAAAGATATAAATATAAAGAATTATTCATATATACCTGTAAAACGATTAAAGCGCGTTTATAATTGTATGCATAGACGGAGTATAGTTTGAAGAAAGGTGCCAATTTGTAAAATGCTTGTGCAATATTTTCCGGATTTTCATTCAATTCTTTTAATAATTCTCCGTTCACGCTGTACAGTGTTTCTATATTTTCGAATAGCGTTATATACGAATCATAATTTAATAATTTTCTCTCAAGTATTGGCTTCATGAAAAACTAAAAATTAATCTTTATTATTTGTTAATTATTCATGATATTTTACTTAATATGTTCAAAAATTTTTTATTTATATTTTTACCTCCATAATAATTTCTAATTGTCGTAAATATTTAACTTCTGAACTTAAAATTTCTTGTATAGCTTGAATCCTTAAACTTTCTTCTTTTTTCATTAGATTTTCTTGGTAAATTTCATCCAAGGCGTTCAAAACTAACATTTAAAAGATTAAAATGTAGAAAATTATTATTTGCTAAAATTGTTGTTTATAAATATGATTTTGATTATACCTTTCATTCTAGTACGAATAGTCATCATATTTCTTTGGTCGATAATCTTTTTTAATTCTGCACTTAAAGTAGGTTTTTTGGGAGTGTTTGGAATATCCATACTTATTTCAACCTAAATGCATTTAATAAATACATAAATAGAAAATAACTGAGATTTTGAAGTAAAAGTATATAGAAGTGAAATGTTTATCCTAGTAATCAATTTTAGTAACTAAATGGAAAGTTTTTTCCACCAATATAATAAGTATATGTAATAATAAGTAGTTTAGTCGATAAGAATTATTTTTTAAAATCTTATTTCAATATATAATTTAGAAATAACGTTGGCAGATTTCATAGTTGGTCCATATAATTGAGGAGATAAATTTTAAAATGAAATTTGAAAATTAATGTTGAAATATGTGATCAAAGAAAAATCATGTAAAATTTTACGAATGATCAATTGACAAAAAAGTTCATCCTTCAATAACTTCAGCAAGACAATATTAATGAAGACAATATCATGATAATAAATGATTAGGCAACGCATGATTATAATAAATAAGTAATATTGATTGTACATTATAGATAGATATTGGACAAAAAATAAACATAAACAAAGTTAAATAAGAGATCAGAGAGAAATGTTAAACATGAATAGTGAATGAGAATGATACATTCAATGTATATTTTTTAAGCGCATGGAAAGTGAATTTCAGTATCTATAGGAATTTGTTTGATATACAGTTAAGTATATAAATCATTGTATAAAATTCAATACAAAATATATGCATATTTTTTACAGTAAATAATAATATTCATTAACAGTCGCATTATGTTCCTGTTAATTAATAAAAATTTGGAAAATATTTTATTCTACTATTATTGATTATGAATCTAACAAAGCTCAATATTCTTAACAAACTTTGAATGAAATAACAATATCTAAATTAAGCCAAATGGCGCTGTAGTATTTAGAATTTTTGAAATATAAATAATAAAACATTTTTGCATTATTTAGATATCGATCAAATCATTACGTTTACTCGTTAAAATGAAAAGTTGCTTTATCCGTCTAACTAAATGCATATTGAAATTGTCTATTCAAATATTTGAACGTACGAGGAAAAAAACAATCATATCTAATGAAAAATAATTGTTTAAATAATTTCAAAAGCATTTGTATGATTTTCTTGAAAAGTTCGCAAATTTATATTGTCTTAATTTCCATCTCAGGTGTCTATCAAAATCCATGATATAACGAAAATTTACTTTATAACATTCATTCTTAATGCATCGACTGCTCTATACGACACATTGTTATTTTAACTTGTTATTATCTATATAAGTCGTCATCACACTTATTTGTAATTGTGTGCTTCTTTATGCATTTAATTGTCGTAAAACATTCTATCATTGATTAATAATTTAATTTCATATAATTTAGGATACGATATCATTGATAAATCAATTTTCTTGATATTTTTTTTTTCTTATAATTCCCTATAAATTATTGTAAATTAAATCTAGCATATCCGAAGCTTTATAACTGCACTTTATGTCGCTATCGTTTTATTATTGAAACGTAAATTCATTGCACTTTAAATGCACGCGTAGCCGGAAGCACGTGCATGCATATATAATAAATAAATTTTTGCATTTATTTTGTAAATATTTTTGTTCGACGATACCAACCGACGGTAATAAAAAAAAAAAAAAAAAAAAAAAAAAATGGTTCTATTTTAATCGTGGTATTACGTGTAAATTTTATTGTAATAAAAAGTGGCACATTGAGCCGGGAAGATAAACTTGCCTATAAAATTCTAGTCGATGTTTTTAAAACTGGTTTACAAGTTTTCAATTTCAGTTGCAAGTGCTCAGTGCGGTATCTGTCAATGTGTAAGCCTCCCTGATCTTCTTTTCAAACGCTGACTTTTGCTTATTCGCGATAACAAACCAATGCATTCCAAAATTACTTAACATACTTCATTTCTCGCTGGCCGTGCATAGGATGCACACATTCCCGTCGCATACAATGCACAAATCTAAAGTTGAACTTGGAAAAAATCAAATGCATCCAAAAGGAGATTATGCAGAAGCAGTTACGGCATGAGAGAACGAGAGAACTAATCCTGTTGTGCGTACTATGCACGAGTATAATTCTCATTTCGGTTTTTTCGAAAGCACCTGCTCAAGCCTTGACGCGCTCTTCCATTGGTCGAGCCGTGCATCATTCGCCCCTCTCTTTTTCTCCTATAATCTTCCATCTTCACCGTCTCTCGGCAGCAGTATGACAGAGAAAAAGGTTGAGGAAAAAGGATAAAGAGAATGAGAGAGGGCGAGAGAGGGAGGGAGAAAGAGAGGGACAGAGGGAGAAAGGAAGAAATTAATATCTGTCTTCGGCCACCTCTTATGCCTTATATTAATTTTTAGTTTGTACTTTATAATTAACGTTGTATAGTTTTTTTTAGAGAGAGCGAGAGAAATCCAATATGGCCGATGTTTTGTTTGCGAGTGAAGATGGTTATGGTTGGGCTGTCTTGGGCACCGAAGATGTTTATTAGCTATCTTACTCCGTGGTTTTTCGGAGTCCCGGTTCATGAGCTCTAGGCTCAAGATATCAGAAATATCAAAATCCAAGTAAGACCGGCCGGTGTAATTTTCGCGCCAGACGAACAATGAATGCGACGAGCTTATACGTGTCGACCTGTCGACTAATTCTCCAAGCCGATTCCGAAGACCCGAGCTCCTGGACTGATTTGTATAGATTAGTGCCGTATCTTCGACAAAGCCTCAGCTGCACCGTTTGCTCGAATCTTTTGATAGAGCCACTCACACCCACGGAGACGAACTGCCAGCACCATGTCTGCCGGGGATGTCGTGGTGGCCGCAAGAAGCTTAAGCCTTCCTGCGGTTGGTGTAAGGACTATGATAAATATATCGAGAATGTACAGTTGAGGATACTTCTGCAATGTTACAAGAAATTATGTGAATATCTGACCAGTACTGGCATTTACAGATGCCTCGTATTGGCCGTATCCAGTAGTAAAATCAGTAATGGTATACCATGTTTAGGTGCCAGCTGCCTCACCGAGCTTATCAAAGAGGGTGCTGGCTTTAAAGATGAGTTCAAGAGCAATGCTGGTCTTTCAAGGTCTGCTTACAGTATTTTACCATGTGTTTACACTACCAGTACTACTTCGACACAGACTGGAAACACAAATCCTATACCCGTGACAGATCCGTTGGTTACGCAGGAGATGCCACCTATTAAGACTGTATCTAATGGCTCATCTATTTATTCTGTGATGTACGCCGGCTCTGGTAACAAGATTACGATAAAAAGGAAAGCTGCCGCCACTGATGACGTCGAGGGTGTATTACAGCCGGAAGTTGAAGTGCAACAGCCACAGTTATCAACGTTACAACAGTCTCCTGTTGGTGTAGTTAAGTGCATTCCAGCTTCTCAGTTAACTTACACGCAGTGTCAGTCTAAGAAAACTTCAAAAAGTAGCAAGGTGATATTTTATATTCTTCACTATTTGTAAATTTTATTATCCAAAAGTATAAATTTCTAGACTGTCATTATTCAATTATTTCTTGACAATTATAAAGGCTTGCAAGATTCAATAATCATTGCATATGAAAATATTAAATTTGATTATCAATAAGGCTAGTAATAAATTGTTTACAAAAATTAAAATTAAAATTACTCTTTTACATACTTAATTAATGTATTTATTATTTTACATAATACAACAATAGGTCCATTTAGTCAAATTAACAATATTATCTTACATTTTTATTTATAATAAATAGTTTTATTTAAACGATACATATAAAATCGAAACTAATAAAATTTGGTTAATGACAACATTTTTTCATAAAAGTTTTAATTTAAGAGACCAAATCTTAGTAACATATGTATTAAAATTATTAAAATTATTAAAATTATAAAATTTTTATAATAAAATAATTATAATCTCGGCAATATCATATGAAAATGTTTATATTATGTTACATTTATCACTTTCAATTCAATCTGAATACTTTCAAACAATGAATAAATAAAGTTTACAATATAAATTATTTTATCATTTTGTTAATATGAATTATAATTTACTTTAATCCTAATAATTCTATTTAATCTGAACATTTATTTCTCAAAATATGTATATCTATACATCGTCCAATTTTAAATAATTTAGATTTATCCTTCTTTTTTTTTTTTTTTTTTTTTTTTTTGTTTTTTTTTTGTTTTTTGTTTTATTATCTCAGTCTACTGGTAATTTTAAGAAACCAAGGTCTAGTTCCACCAGGAGTAAAAGAAAAGGATGTAGATGTGGAAATGCTACTGCAATACCTGGAAAATTGACATGTTGTGGACAAAGATGTCCTTGTTATGTCGAAAGCAAACCATGCCTTGAATGTAGGTGTAGAGGTTGTCGAAATCCTCATACACGAGATGGTTACAAGGTATGCTTACTTTAATTCTTCTTGATTTACTATCATTTATTTTCCTGCTAATTTATAAATTATTTGGATTAAACTTTTGAACTATCTTGAACAACAATATTTTAAATTGTTTATTTGTTCGTTACTTACCAAATGTCCTATATATCGAAGAATTCACATATTAGATTGTAAATAAATATACTGAAAATTCTAGTTAATAGGAATAAGATATTGGGCTGCCAGTATTAAATATATTTTGTATCCATCATATAATTTACACACTTAGCGAATAATGGATCAGGGATGGATCAAATTTTTACAATATTTTATCTATTAGGATTATACTTTTTGCAATAGCTTAAAGGACATATTCTTAAATATTTTTCTTAGATAAAAATACAGTTAGCGGCGCAGAATATATAATGCTAATTTCAAAATATGATCTACAAAGAGTCATCATACAAAATAATAAATATTCTTTAAGCGATTACGTTTGCATAGTTGTCAAACTACGAAATTTATAATAATTAAAAACTTTATAATTATTTTATCGATATGTGCTAATGTAATCTTCATTATTATAATTGAAAAATATAAATGTCTTACAGATTCGCCCCCACATACCAGAACTTCATAATTTGCAATTACAGTTATCCAGTCCCCTTGACTGTGATGGTTTGGCTACCGATCCTCTTGGTTCTGTCCAGCAGTGCCTCTCAGTCTCACCACCAACGATTCAAGTTCTCAATGTTTATTCGACGCCAAGGTTGGAAATAGACAATATACCACAAAATTTGCCGGCAGCTTTGCTTGTTGGCGAAGACGCAATGGCGAGTACTGAAAGTGAAGCCGAGGACAGCGACGTACAAATCGATGTGTGACGACGAATTCAAGTGCGGATATAAGACTTATAAAACGTGATTTGTAAATGAAAATGAACTCACCAAATAATAATTACATTATATGAGATACAACGTGTTCCAAATATACAAATGAAAAAAAAAATTAATGGAACACAGCACTAGTATGTTTCTCACAGAATTGTACAAGAAAACATTGAATAAGTATCCATTTATTTTATAATTAACGTTTGTACGGATTTCTTTATTGAATTCTTAATTCCTGCCAGTCTTCGAAAATATGGCATTCTATTACACTCCGAGTTTATAAATATATAAAGCGATTGTGAATATTATTCTTAAAATATTTTGAGAGTCCAAATGTGTATTATTATACACTTTGATAAATATCACATGTTTCAAATTCCTTTATTATACTAATGAGAGTAATATCGAAATTTATTCATTTTACCTAATAACTTCTTTAGGTAATATTGTAAATATGGTTATAATAACAAAATCTAATTTTATTAAAATGTATAAATGCTATCTTATCAAAGACTTTTTAGAATATATTTAAAGGTAAAATCGTTAAGATACTTTGTCGTAGACAAAGTTAAAAACTATATTAAGTCACAACTTGATCCTGACTGATTGAAGCACATTAACTACTTTCGAGAAATCTAGTACAAAATTACATTAATCAATGTGTAGAATATATGAATGTATGAAAAAGATAAAAAAAATTTACTTTGTTAATCTGATTTGTTACTTCAAATAATCTGTGTTTACAAATGTTTTTTAATAGAAATTGAACAGAATAAAACTATTTTACATACTAATTGTTTTTATATACTCTATGCAAGTGAATTACAGATCAATTATATAAATTGTATAAATTTAAGAAGTGGATAAATTAAGAGGCTATTGTGATTACAATTAAATAAAATAACACGGTTAAAATTATTTTTTAATTTTTGAAATTTTATTACAACTAAAACGTAATCAGTCATTTCATAAATGATACAACCACCTGATTCCAACCACTAAATATATTGCAAATACACAGACTCAAATAACTTTTCTGTGTAAAAGGGTTATTATACAGGATTGTATAGATCGAGTAACAATTCCATTGATTGTTCGTGAATGAATATGTATAAAATCTTTTTTTTTTTTTTTTTTTTTTTTTTTTTTTTTATTTTTTTTTGTGAATATTGTTCAAACAAAACAGTCTTTTATTTCATTATTATAGATATAATAGTAATCTCGAAATTATCTTCCACATTACGGACATTTTGCGGGCTAATGAATATGTGTAATTAACTGACTGATACTTGTATTGCTTTTATGAATTACGCTAAATAATTTTTACTATATGTAAATTTATTTGCATAGCACGTCCAACCATCTTAGAAAATACAGATTATCTTTTAGGTCGTTACATTGAAAGAGCTTTTCAATGACAGATGCATCGTTCATTTCAAGAAATGGCCGCGCATAAATTCAAATCTTGTGAAGTCTAGAAGAAAAGGAAAAGAAAGTTAAGATTAATAATTTTTTTTTTGTTTTTTTTTGTTTTTTTTTTGTTTTCTTTTTGTTTTTTTTTTTGTTTAAATAAATTCAATATTCATTTATCCTTATAGCATGCAATAAATAAGAATTAATAAGATAAATATTTTCAATCGAAATGTTTTTTCTAACAGGTATAATGGTCTGTTGAAAATAAATAAAATTTGACTGTTTGATAAGAATATATTTACCACTTATAATCACCACAACATATTTGCAGATGGATATTTCAATGGTATACTTGAAGTGACATGCTGAGCTAAATATTCCCATCCCAAAATTTTTGCAATGTCTATAACTTTTTCATCAATTTCTTTTACTGGCTTGTCTTCGTAATATCTTGCCAATAATTTTAAATATCTGCCATAGTGTTTATTGATATGAGCATGCCACAAAGAGAGAATTATTACCTATAAATTTTTATAATAAATTTTATATACAATGCAAATGAGCCTTAATTATTAAAAAATTTACCATGTCATTGTAATTATACGATTTGTAAATAAACTAAAATTATATTAAAAATTAAACATGTATAAATAATATGGTAAAATCAGATTAAAAAGTATCTCTTAAAATTAATTTACCAATGTACTATGTTAAAATATTAATTATATATAAATATATTTATTTATTTAAATGTCATTTCCATGTTTAATTTCATATCGAATTTTTAATTATAAGCTTTTTAAAAAAACTCCTAACTATCATTGTATATTTTCATTTAAAACTAACATGTATTATTTTATGAATCAATAAATGTAAATTTCCTCGTAAATAATGATAAAAGAATCGAGAAGACTAACTTTGCTATCTGTCGGCTCGGCAAATTTCTGGGCATCCATCCACAGACTGGAGACATTATCGCAAAGGGCTTTAATATTTTCCTCGCTGTCATTTTTTCTTTTCCCGTGCACGTGGAGTCGAGCTAACGCACAACCCTTCTTTACAAGTGCTTCAAGAAGACAATTTTTCTCCTTGTCCATTGTTGCCTTTATCTTCGCTGCATCCGGTCTCTGATCGTTCTTCAAACCGTAATAGGCTAATAGTTTTTCTTGATCAACGGACTTAATAATTTCGTCAGCAATGGTAATTATCTGATTGGAGAAGTTGACCGTGGCATCGGATAAATCGTCATGAGGTACGTGCCTAGGAGCGTCTGATGAATCCAAGGAAGTAAGCATAGCAGTCTGTACTGGTAAGTGGTCCGGAAAGTTGGACCTCAGATCGTTATAGAGTTCTTGAGTATGCTCACCGGGTTCTGAGTTTGAACACAAAATTATATTTTTAACACAGACAGTTTATCGTAATTGACGAAATATAAAAACAATAAAAATCCAATCAAATAATTAGGGTTTTATTTTGTAAAATTTTGTATAATTATATAAACAAAACTTAATCTTTTAAAAACAAGAAAAAAAAATCAAAAAAAAAAAAATCAAGGGTACATTCAATGTTTAGCATATTATAAGTGTTACTATATACTTATTAAATATTGATTGAGATGATTGAACTTAATTTGCTAAAAATGTGCTAGTTCTTATGAAAACCAATTTATTTGATACTTTTTAAACACGGTTTCAAAGTAAATTAATTGGCATTTAGTACACGTAACACTATAAATGTAATTTATGTTTTAGCAAAAATAAATAAATGTAAAAAAATACTTTAATATCCACTAAACATTTTACACATTTTATACAAATTAATGCATTTACAAAATATTCGAAAATATAACTTTCTATGTATGAAAAGTAAATTTTTATTTCTTCTAGTCTCTAAATTAAAAATATTAAAATTTCATTATTGGAATTTAAACAAAATCTAATCATAAAAGATGTTTTTTCAAATTTATTTGAGCTGTAAATTTCTATATGTAGAAATTTAATCGTAAAAATGTAACTCGATATATTATTATAACATTACGGGGACGTTAAACATTGATAATCAATCTAGTTTTTAGTGACAAAAGTTAAATGATATATTTTCCAAACTTAAAATCTCAGAAAATTCTCTAATTCTAGTATTAGAAGTGATTCAAATTAAAAATATTATCATAAAAAGACAAACTTTTTAGTGTTTAAAAATTAAAATTTTTATTATTACACACTTAATTAAAATTAAAAATATTTTTTTTTTCCTATTTAATCAGGGGGTACACAAACGAATAATATAATAACATAACTATTATATATTTGGGAATGGGTAGAACAAAGAGAGAAATAAAAGGGGGCAATTTTGAAAGAAAACTTACTGACAGATGGAGCTTAAGATGTTTTTCCAAAAAATAAAATAAAATTTATAAAATTTCAGAATCAGAAATTAACAAAAAATTATCATTTTTCTTAATTCATAGCAGAATTGCATGTAATAATAATAATATTATAAGGATGATACTCACCCAATTTAGCAAGCCAACTGCATTTAAGATCACGCATAGCTTTCTTGTATTCATGCCATTTTGTAGTTATTTCTTTATCAATTTTATTATTTTGATTGGCAGATTTTTTAGCTGGTTCGGATAGTACAAATTTAAATGTGTATATATCAACTTTTTTGCCAATTTCGTCTTTACAAAATGTTATTGTCCCCTGTAGATATGAGCCCAATGTAGCACCCTTAGAAATTCTTTGGAAATAATAATAAATTATAAATTACATGTGTAGGCGTCTGTATATATAAATTATGTAAATGTAAAAAAAAACAATCGACCAATCAATATAATCATAACATTTCTAAGCAACATTTATATAAAATAAGGAGATTTTACGTGAAATGTAAATTAAAAATTGTATACTAATGCATACAAAATGTAAAAATTATATATATATATATTTTTTTAATAGTAATAGTTGGTTATAAAAATACTTGAGCGATTGCGAATATTAAGTATTTTTTTTATCTATTATTTTTATTATTATATATATATATATATATATATATATATATATATATACACATATATATAATATTAAGTATTATAAATCATGAAACTGCTGCAGAAGCAATGTAAGAGAAAATTATTTTATACTCGTATACATTTCTTATGGTTACTGCAAAGCAGGCAGTTGCAACAAAATTAAAATGAAATTAATGATGCCAACTCACATGTTGTCAGTGCTGTGATGCAAAGAGAAAGTAAAAATTCTATATCAGTATCCTCTTAAATTAAGACGAAACTTAACTTTTATAAATAGAAATTCAAATAATATCAATATATAATCTCACTATCATAATACATAGATTAAAAATTCTTTTAATATAATAAAAGAACGATTAAGAATCATAAATGAAGAATAGAAAAGAACGTATTTTGATTGATATTTTGAATGTACAATATGCACATTTTTTTAGAAATAAATTACAAATATTTGCTGTATTTAAGTAGCAATACTTACTTGCTTTCATTCGCCAGTGGTGCAATGTAAAGTGGTAAAATATGACCTGGAGGAATTAAAGCTGCGACCATTTTTTTACCACCTATGATTGCTTGCGACTGACTGGCATAAACATCCAGACTAATCTGTGAGCTAAGTTTTTGAGTGAGTAGTATAGGCATCTCTGTTAATCTGTCGAGTAACTCTCTTTTTTCATGGCGCACTTGCATCTTTAACGTGTAATCACCTTTGTCAATTTTTGAAATTATATACTGTAAGAAATATGACATTTACGTTACGTGCTAAAATCATCCTTAAATTCTTATAATTCTATAATTATCATAAATTACAATAACAATAATATGATTAGATTATGTATTGTAATACATTAATTTATATTGTATATATTGTACCGAATATTATTTAAAACTATAATCAGTATTATTTACTTTGTTAGGATATGCATCTCCACAATAAATAACTTGTTTATTGACATTATAAATTATCCACCTTTGACACTCATATTCATTTTCATAAAGCAAATCGCTTAGCAATGCTGCATTAGGCATTATTTCAGTCGCTTTTGCAATGTGGAATGTGTAAGTTAATTCCAATTCAAATATTTGTCGGGCAGGTGGAATGACATCCCGTGCCCTCAGGGGTGCAATTTTCGAATCAATTGGTCTAAACGACGAGAGAATACATAGTTAAAATAGCTATTTACCAATTTAATATCGATGTAAAACTAAAATAATGATAAAGAAGGTAACTATTACATTATTATTTAAATATATAGAAACGAAAATACCTTAGAACTTGAACCGAGTGCTTCAATGAGATATTTGGTACAACCTCTTCATTTCTTAACGAACTTCGAAGTTCTAAGCGATGGATACCATCTCCGGATTGCATTGTAAGAGCGCCATTTATTAAATGAATTCCATGAAATTCTATAGTATAATCAATAAGAATATCGCCCAAGTTGGCCCAATATTTAGCGATGGCTACTTCTAAAATTAATCCTCCTTGCACAGCGAAACCTTGAATTGTTTCCGATTGCGAAGTAATATTTAGCATTTTATTAACTTCGAGGGTTTTAGTTGATAAACGAGGTTTTAATTGCATTGTATGCATTACAAATCGTCCAGTCTTATCTTTTTCTGAGCTCTTCAGTTTCAAAACTTAAAAATAGAAATAATTATACATTTACTGTACTAAACATAAATAAATAAATAAATAAACAAATAAATAAATAAATATATATATATATATATATATATATATATATAATAAAGAATTTTATATGTTCAGTGTATTTTTAATTTATATCTATTAATTTTTTTTTTTTTAAAGTAATTTTAGTCGTTTATAAAAAATACAGAATAATTAATAACATTTTAATTAATAAATCATACTGTTTAAAACATTTTCACGTTATTAATTACAAATATTTTAGATTTTTTTTTTTTATAAAACTGGCAAAACAATAATTTTATATATTAATGACATTCTAATTAAAATGTATGATTAATCAAAATATAAAATCAAAATAATTCAAAATAAAATATTGTGTAATAAGTATTGTGGTAATAAATATTAAATGCAATTATTATGAAATATTCTTAGATGAAAATCTAGTTAATTTTTTATTACAAATTTCAAGAATCTTTTACTTATACTAAATGTAATATAATCGATTGGTTGACTATATATTTTTTAAAATAACTATTCTTTATAATGAAAATATTTCTTGATTATATTTTCTATCATTTTATATAATAGACATTACTTTTTGCATAACAGATTTTAGGATTTTAAGATTTCTAGGAAATTATTATTTATATGCAACTTCTAAACAAGTGGAATAAATATCAATAATTTATGTAAATTAATCTTACCTGCCCATGTAGCATCATCGGGCACAAGTATAAAGTGCCTATAAGTAGTATTTGGCTTGAACAAAACGTTTGTATAAGTGAGATCAGGAAGCGTTATATTTTTAGGAATTGTTAATGGTTGTACTATAGTAATTGGTATACGAAATACAGGTCCTTTATCTACATTGGTTACATCATAAGCTTGAATACTGCGAACCAATAGCAAACAACGTAATCACGGGAATGTTTATTATAATTCTTATCGAGTGTGAAATTAAAATCGTAATAATACCTGGTAAAATGAACACCATCCGACAATGAAGTACCATCCACTCTAATAGCGAAAGCTCGTGGCATATGCATTAAATCAAGATGAGTTGGAAAATGAACACCAGGTGCATCACACACCATAGCTAGTCTTAAATTAAAGTTGATTTTACGTGCTGGATCTATTACATAATAATAAATGTCATGTATTTGTCAGAACAAATCAAATAAGACAAAAATATTATACTTAATGATATATTACAACATTATACCTGAAATTATAATAAAACGCAATACGACGCTTAAATGAGAAAGATAAATTAAATTTTTCTAGAAATATCGACACCAATGACAAAGATTAATGAAAAAACTCGTTTGGCGAAGCTTAAATGGAAGAAATTTGAAAAATTACCTATATTATCAGTATCCATAAAAATTGGCTCTACTGTAATAGCATAATCCTTTGGACGATCAATTACACCACCTCTCAAGTGAATACCTTTGGCATTGTTTGCGCCGCAATTGATTGCAAACCTGACATCTCTCTCTGGGCAATTAGCAGTGGAGACGAGATTTTCGAAAGCTCGCTCTACTTGTAAAAGTCCTGAGCCCTGTGCGAATACGTCGAGCGTGTCAACAAAGTGCGCACTATTTTCAAGAGCACGTTTTATACTGTAAGGTGAGAATTTTAAACTCTTCGCAAGAAGACCGGAGATGAGAACGGCTGTAAAGACAATAATAAAATCATTTTTGTATAAAATCTTTCATTAAAATAGGCATTCGATACTGTCGTCGACACGATTCCATCCACCAATCATGATAATTTAGATATTTTTTTACCCTAATAAATTTTTAAATAAGTCAATCATAGATTTTAATAGATACTGCTATCGTAATAAAAAAAAAAAAAGAATTAATATTTCATTTTAGCTCTCAAGAAATAGTTTTTAAATTACGGCTACACATTTTATGGGAAAATAATTATATTATAATCGTTTAAAAACTTTACCAACTGCACCAGCCACATGCGGACTTGCCATACTCGTTCCATTAAGTAACTGGCACTTTCTTAATGTGAAATTTGGCACACTGGTAATTGCGCCTCCAGGTGCACATACAGTAACACCGCAGCCGCCATCAATGGTTGGTCCACGGGAAGACCACGTGAAAGGCATACCAGGCATTTTTTCTCTTAACGAATACTCGGCCATCATCATGTCGGGCGAAACGTATGCACCAACACCAATAATACTGTTGGAACTAATATCTGGAGGGGTATCTGAAAATCAATACGTCAAATATGAAAATTTATCAATTACATTAGTTGTATAAATAATGTAAATTTTATAATTTAAATTTTAACATACTCAAATGGCTTTAATTTAAAAATACGTTCATTTAATAAAAGTCTAAGCAATTAATATCTTCTGTACAATAATGATTAACTATCGTTAATACTTCCAAGTAAATATTTTAATTGTTCGATAAGTTTTCCAAAAAAAAATTCTTAAAAAATGAGGGTCTGGATTACACAGGACCATTCCACGACTGTCCAACATTAAATCTTGTTAAAACAAACTTTTTTGTTAATTTACATACTTGTATTTTATAGGGAAGAGTCTTTCCACATAATGTAATAACGGTAAACTTTGAGTAAATATATATCATGAATTTTTACTTTTTACGATAGTTGAACATTTATGAATTGTAAATTAAAAAAATGTTTGAAATTTTTGTGCAAATTCCTGAAACAATAAAATACAAAATTCTTTGTACAATTTTTTAATTTAAAAGAAATTGTTAGCAGTCTATTAATAAGTATAAATAAGTAAAAAAAAAAAAAAAAAAAACAATTACTTAAAACATAATTATAAATATTTCAAAAAATTTCTAGTTATTCTTATTTAAACTGTCTGAATTAACAATCCTTAATCTTCTATATTTCTCTATATATAATAATAATGTACGTATCATTACATCTTAGAGTAAAAAAATGAATAAAATAGAAATTTAATTAATGCTGTTTTTTTTTTGTTGCGTAAATTCATGGTTTATAAAATAATTTGTTAGAGTATGGTTGGATAAATCATTAGAACGTGGCCTTAAATAAACATTTTAATCAAATTTATAATCTAAGTAACATTGTTTGTTAAAATTAATTCTGTAATTAGAAAAACACGACAATATCATTAATAAATAAATATTTATAAATTAATATATAAGTGTAATGGAGTTATTTTAAAATTCATGTTTTTATTAAAATAAAGGGAAAAAATGAAACTTTGTAATATAAATCATACGTGTAAATCAATTTAATGAGTTTTAAAACGTCGTAATGCTCAAACACACATACAGAAATTTTAAAAACATATTGATTTCTAGAATTTGGATGAATTTTTATTATTATGAACGTTGATTGTAACTTACTTATTGTACATAATGCTGGCCCCATGTTCCCTGCTGATGTTACTAATGTCACTCCATATTTATCAATGACTTCATTCATGAGTTCACCTATTCTGCCTGCATTAGTCCAATGAGCACGTTCTCCATAACTCATATTAATAACATGTACTTTATATTTATAAGACATTACACGAATCATTGCTCTTACAATTGCACTACCAGTTTCCATTGTATCTAGTCGTGCATCACCAATACTTAATGATAGGATTTGCGCACCGGGGGCAACGCCATTTAGTTCTTTGTTATCAGGGAAATTCCCAACAGCGATTGAAGCTACATGAGTACCATGTTGCGCTGAAAATCGCCAAAAACCAGATTAAAATTTTAACAACATTTATATTTAAAACACAATAATAAAGCTTTATTATTATTTAGTTTTATATAAAAATTCAATTACTTTCTACTATACAATGTTTGCTTAGCACAATATTATGTGTGTGTATTTTTTAAATACACTGTATAAATGATTATTAATATTTTCAACAAACACTAATAAATTATTCGAATGTATTACTAAGTAGAATAAAACTTGACTTACAACAAAGACTGACAATTTCTAACGTGTTTCCATCGTCATGCACATTAATAGAAATATTCAATTGATCTTCTTGTGTTAATGGTGCATAATCATTTGTGTGGGTATATTCGCCTAGAAATACACCAGATTCTAAATCTCCTTGTTCCGATGTATCAATGCAAGCTCTATAATTATTAAGTGCCATTAATGTTCAACATTTGGAATAATTTCGTAAATATAATATTTTTTATATAATATGATATTTCTATTTCAAGCGATTCTGAATTATAAAGTATGTTATATTATAATTTAAGCGTTGTATTATTATTTTCAAGTTTAATGCATTTTTTAATGATTTGATTGAAAACTATACTAAAAAATTATATTTATAATATTCATGTTTAGTGATTTAAAAAAAAAAAGTTAAACTTTTTATGGAATTATTAAAATTTATTGTCTAATTAAAGAAAAACTTTTTTTACCTCCATATTTCACCATCATGAAAAACAACACAATCATACGTTGGGCCAAGGTCTTCGTACTTTTTTTCTAAATTTGTTAAATAATCTATACGAGTTTCAAGTTCTTCTTTCTCTAATTTTTCTTGTATAGTCGATAGCTGTGGATGTTTCGATTCAAATTCCTAAAGGCAAACAAATACCTATTTATCGATTGATGTATTGCAGAATTCTAATTGGCACATTATTCAAAGAGGTCAGTGTCTTTGCTCAATAAAAATTGGCAAATATAAATATAGTGACAGACTTAGCTAAATGCAAGCTCTTGTGAAATACGTCCTAATTTTTTATTATTTCAAGATCATTATTGAGCAGCAATTGTTCATAAAATAAATAATACTATGTTTTTAATAGAAGATATTTTATAAAATCAATTTGATCTTTTGTAACTTAAACTATAATTTATCAACAATATTTATATAAATTAAATTCAGTTTTAAGCAATTATTAAGAATTCATAAAATGTTTCTATTAAATAATAAAATTTACTGATACATTTCTAATATTTTTAATTTAAAATTTTTAATTTTAAATTTACATTTTAAATAAAGACGAAAAGAGCTAAGTTTGCAAATGTAAGTAAACATTGGAATTAAATATAAAAAGAATTTGTAAAATAAATTTTGCTCTGAAATATTTTTTTAAATTAAACTTTTGGACTCACTTGTAATAATCTTGTGGCTTCTACTAAAGCAATTTTGTGATTATCATCCCAAAATCTTTTTTTTCTAGATTGTTCAATTCTTTCAAGTAATTTAGTCGGATACAAAGAATATGCGCTTTTCTCTCCAAGATGAAACTCCCCAGTTGGATTGTTCCAAGATATAGGAATCTAAAAAAATGAACAAAATTTATTAAAACTTTTAGCCATGTTACATTGTTGTCTAAATTGTTATGAAATATTATTTTTTGCATATATATATATATATATATATGTATATAAATGTCAAATAATGTAATTAATATAAATTTTATTATAAATTTTTGCGATAAAATATTTTACTTAAAGTATGATGAAAGCATGTTATATTCATAATAAAAAACAAAAAATTTTTTTTAGTAACAATATTATTTATTCTTTAATTAAAATTAGTATTGCTGTTATTAGAATATTTAATTTCTATTCCAAATATATTTTATCTTATATTTTGAAAATTTGACATGGAATTAATTAAGTACTAAGCTATATATATATATATATATATACATGAGATTTTAGAATTTATTTTATAAAATTTTTTTTCATTTGTGCATATATAACAAAAAAAAAATATATATATATATATATATATATATATATATATATATATATGTATATATATAATTATCTAGTAGCTGTATTAAATACATAAACATAATAATAGAAGTGAAAAATGATTATTTAATTTGTTTTAATAAATGGTAAGAAAAGAATAAAGAATAGAGAGCCTATTATTAGGAGACTCACCTTTAAGCGACGTCCGGTGGTTCCTGTCAAATAACCATCTATTGTCTTCACAACTTTACTGGTATCAACATCACCACGTCCGCTACAATCAAATCTCTCAAGTATCTTGGGCTTACCATCGGATGTAAACTAAGAATTTGTCAACAAATAAGCAACAAATATACACAAATTTATATTATCTCTGAGCTATTAAAGTCCTCAAAATAATTATTTTGACGGAATAATAGGTAATGTAATTTTAATGTTAATAAGTTGTTTGAAATAAAGTTCGCAAAACAAAGAAATAAGCTTTAATAGCTTTAATCGAAAGAATAACGCGAAATAAGGACAATATATGATAATTGAAGGTAATGCGACCTTTAGAAAGTGAAAAATGCACTCACTTGTAAACCTGGCGCTCCAGGATCGACTCCGGAATCGAAGATAGCCAAAATTGTACCTCTACCGTCGTACTCCGGATATTTGGTAAGGAACTGAGTGACACCCGTCTCTTTCTTAGGTAACAGACCCCAAATTGGGAAGTTCAAGTCTAAGTTCTCTGCCATCCCAAAGATGCCAATGGCGCTTGCTGGTGCACTTAAAACTTATACTTTTATCTTGTCCTCCTCCTCTTTCCTTCTGCTTTTCAAAATCTCGAATAATCGTTGGCCTCGAGCGACTCTGACACTTTGATGCTGTGCAACGCCGCTCTCACAGCTGCTCCAAGCAACTTTGAATTAATTCCTTTTTCGTTCCTACTACTTGCCCTCCTTTGTTCTGTGGCAGTGTCGACGAAATGAGTGTAAAGGTTAGAATCGTCTCCCTCGGAGGTAAGTCAAATGTTTTGCAGTGCCAACAACACTGCCAACGTAGCTTTATATCTCGCTCGCTCAATTGGGCTGGGTGTGACACTCACACATTCACGATTACGTGAAGGAACTCGGGTAGCTACAATGTTCGCTGAATACACAGGCGAATAGTAATGTGGTTGTGGCGCTATGCGGTGACAAATCATGAAAGCAAGGAGTTGCTAATGCATGCGAAATATAATTGGCATTAACGTACGAGTATAATAATTTGAAAATAAGGTATCCGATTAAAAATTCAGTAGCTTTAAGAGCAAGCAATATCTATCTACCTTTATCATCCGATATTAGTTTATTAATCTTAAATACAAGAAAGAAAGAATAATAATTTCATTTAAGATTAGATTTATTTGATAGCCAATAGTAATTTATGATAATTTAATCATTTATCCTTTGAAATTCTTGAGCTTTGCATTACCTTAATTAATTAATTAATTAATTAACGTTTTCTTCTTACAGGTATTTTCATCGCATACCACTGTCCTGCTACTTTCTATCAAACGAAAATCTATCTACAAAAGTTTAATTTAATTCTCTTCATTTTATATAAAGACAGTTATTATTCAAAGAAATTTTCGCGAACATGTATGTATTCTTTTATTATTAATTCATAAATTTAAGAAGATAAACATTTTTTTACCCGTCGCTAATATTTTAATGAAATCGCTTCTAAAACTAATTATTAGAATGAAATAATAGGTTTTCTTGAAAATTTTTCATGATTTTCGATGAGAATTGATTGTTTTCTTTTTTTTTTTTTTTCTTTTTTTTTTTTTTTTTTTTTTTTTTTTTTTTTTTTTATTTCGCAATGCTCACCTAAATAAATTTGAGGAGGAATCGGAGTACAAAATCTGATAAGTCTCGGAGGAAAGTCGCTTTTGAAATATCAAATGAATATCAAATTTAGAGAGTCGATAAGCAAAAAAAGAAAGAAAAAAGTACAATACAATAACTCAACTAAATGCATTAAATTGAAAAAAGAAAAAAAAAAAAATTGTATTTCAAATTCATACGAATTATGTTGATTTACTTTGATGCTACAAATGATTATTATAATCATACGAGTCATTGATAATTGATATTGTTTGAATAATTGGAATACTAATCCTAATAAAATAAAAGAAAAAATTACGTGTCTCTAAGTAATGGCATTGTAAAATTTTTATTTAGATATTATTTTATTTAAATTTAGTGAATAACAATAGGTATTTAATATATAAAATTCAACTTGAATCATGTTTCACTTAATATTTAAAAATTAAAAAACAGTTCTTATTTGCCTATCCATTTATTATATTTTTGTTTCTTTTCGCAAATATAGTTATCATCATAACATAAATTTCCCTTCGTAAAATAAATATTTTAAATTAATATATTATTAACTTCGATTATAACTTATAGCTATTTCTGTGCATGCATTTACAAATACTTAAAACATAATATATTAATTTTATTGCTCAATTAGTACATAAATATTTGATATACTTAAAGTAATGATAAAATAAAGCGTACGCCAAGAATAATTTCAAAAAAAAATTTTAAATAAATTTTTACATTTGCAAATTTTAACCAAACGCTATATATATATATATATACATATATATATATATTGATAAAAAAATATTAATGTTATTGCTTTATCCACCTATATATATATTATATATTATATTATATATATATATATATATATATATATATATTTTATCAATGCATTAAAAATTCTTTTACATTTTTAGTAATATAATTTCTCATCAAGTTTTTTTTATCAACATTTTATTTCATATATTCTTAAAAATTCATACTTTTTTTTGATATATAAAATTTCCCATTAATGTATATTATTGTAATATATTCTAATCGCAAAAATTTAACTACATATTTTTGCATAAACTATTTGTAAATTCAATAAACAATATTATACATTTTTCTTGTAATAATTACCGTTATAAAATAGCCTAAATCAGTTTAGCTAATGTATAATATATATATTATTATTATTTTTTTACAGCTAATCGAATTTTGTTATTAGCTTGATTATGATATTGATTAAATAATTTTCAATTATAATAAAGAAATATTGCATTTTAAATAATGTTTTTAATTCATGTATTAATTTCGATTATCATATTTATTTTTTATTTCGTGTTGACTATCATGGATGGATAATGAAAAAAATTCATTGTTCTACCCACTAAATTTAAACCTGATAATGGATACAATTTATGATTAGTTAACAATACATATACAATTAGTCAATAAAATTAAAAATTCTCCTTTATTAAAAGGGATTTATAAAAAATAGTCATAAAAATTTTTTTTCGAACATATAAGCCAGATCATACCTTTGAATATTACATGATGTATTCAATATTAATGAAGCCGTTTTATTAATTTAGTTATATAATTTTTTTTTATCGTTCGTTGGTAATTGTAAAATTTAGTATATAACAATGAGATTACATTACATTAGTTTTATTATTTTACAAATATATACAAGAATGATTTAAAGACAATTTAAAGAGATTTAGAGTTACGGCTTCTAATACTAAAAACTCATCTAGAGGAAATAAAAATTGAATTGAATTGTAACACGTATATTTTATAATAAAGTATTGATATTATTATTACAACATTATTTAAAATTTTTCTTAAATATTCGGTAAAAATTCTGTAATTACGAAATTCATTCTACCAGTTAAATAAATAGCTTAGAAGCTTGTGTTTTCTATTTTGTTTTTTTTTTCGTTTTTTTTTTTTTTTTTTAACAAACATTATAATTGTGTCAATATTATTTAAGAATAAAGCTATTTAATTGCAAAATTCTTTGAAAAATGTAATTGTGTTTAACAAACATATTTAAATATAAATAATTATTTTACTAAATATTACTTAAATTTTATTTGAACTAATAACAATAATTAAGCATTTAATGTTTTGGAAATTAATTTGTAAGAAATATTATATTATTTAATTTTTATGTAGGAGCCCTATCTATTTATAAATAGTTACCTAAAATACATGACCAGTACAAGTATTGTTTTACAAAAAAGAGTTTCCAATAATAATCAATAGAGCTCAGGCTCGAGTCACTGCCACATTTAATTTTTTCTTAGCACAATAAATCCAAGTACATATTTCACATCTTATATGCCCTAATTTACAACTCCTAATGAATATAATTTCTATAAATGAGCAACTTCCTATTATTATTCTATAAGAACAAAGAATATATAATGAAACAGGATTCCTAGAAATGTTAGAATTGAAAGGAACACGGTATAATTCAATGTTTTATATAAACTGAATTCAAATTATGTTTAATTACAATACTTAAAGTTATGTAATTAATGATAGATAAGAATTTATAATAGATAAATAAACAGCAAATAAATATATTAAAAACAAAGTTCGTTTAATTATAACTTAAAAGATTATTGATTAAATCATAAAGTATCAATATTGATTATAAAATTATTTGCTTATGTGATATTTAAAGTAATGTAAGAGTAATTGAAATAAAATTGCAAATATTATTAAATTCAGTGTTAAAGTAAACAAAAAAATTTTTAAGAAAACATTTTATAATTTTTAATAAAGATTTTATATTTTTACTAACTCATTTGAATATCATAAATTCTATAATTCTATAATTATATGCAAAAAGGCTTAAAATTAAATTACAACTTACACTGCGAAGTATTTACCATTATGTAAATCCCATTTCTAAGATATAATAACTTGATCACCAATTAATAATAAAAGTTGCTTTTCTATTAAACCTGGTACATGCAAAGTTAAATACTCTCCACTAGGATACATAATTGCACTGGTTGTATTGAAATTTCTCTTATGAATTATTTGTCTTATTTCTTTTAAATATAACAAAGACAAAAAAAAATGCTTTTTATAATTTTTAAAATTTAACTAAATTTCAAAGGATGGTACACTTCTTAATAAATAAATTTCAGATTTTAAAATATTTAGTTCTTCGACTATTATTTGAATTACATTACTCCAAGGAATTAGAGATATTTTTTAAGTTACTAGATTTTGCTAATTAATATTATAAAAATTTGTTTAATTTGTTTTTATAGATTAATTCTTTTGACTTTAATAGAAAATATGTATTTAATTATGAAATGACTCAATTTAAAAATAATCAGTTTTTCGAATCTTGTAACAGATCTGGCTTTACATCTAAATTTATAAATAATTTCATCTCATAGTTTAAGGTAATGACACAAGTATAAATTATGATTTTCATATTAATGTAAATAATAATTTTATAATATATAAATTTATATATTTTATTATATATATATATATTTCAAATATATCAATTTCTGATACTTTAATTTTGTTCATATATAATTTATAACTTATAATAGTATTACAATAGTTTTTTCAATTGATAATTATAATTCATAAATAATGACTTCCAAATAACGAAGAGATATCTTTATTAATAGAAATATTGTTACTCATTTTAAACTCTAATAAAAAAAGATACTTCTGTTGATTGAAACTTATTATTTTGTCACGAATACAAATTTAGAAATTATTAAAAAATTAACTTTTAAAAACACTAGTATGAAAATAAATGATTAGGTTAGTGATTTTTATATAATAGCTGTAATGACATTTTTTTTAATAAATATTAATTTTTAGATCAAAACATAATAAACGAATATTCTTATCCGAATTGTTCAAAATCCTTCGGTGTTTTAATATTATTTGATTAATTAATATAAATACCATTTTTAACGTAATGTGTACACATAAACAAATAAAGGAACAGCGGATTAACATCTGCTTTCAAAAAAACAAAACAAAAAAAAAACAAAAACAAAAACAAAACAAAAAATTAAAAAAATAACAAAAAAAAAACAAACAAAAAAACAAAAAAAACGTATGAACGGAATGTAGTAAATTCCTTTCCTATATATGTGCAATGAAAGTCCAAGTTCGTTGTTTATCTTTTGCAAATGCGCATTATTTGAATATGGAATTTCACAGTATTTTTCAATATCACTGAAGTATCGTTATTAATTATATATGTCTTTTCAGGACAAAATTACTTTTTGTCAAATATGATTCGTAAATAAATTATCACTAGAATTCTAAATCTTTATTAAAATGGTTGATTATTTTATTTTATTTTTAAATGTTGTAACGATTATAACAAATATTTAAAGTTATTGAAATTTATACTATAAGGTACCTATAAATACCAAAACCAAAATATATAATATTTTTAATTTATTTTTAACATCGATATGTATTAATATAATATATTAACTAAAATAAAACTAAAAGCTTAAGTTGTTTAAAAACAAATACTATACCATCATAGCAGTGCATCAATATTTCTACATAAAATGTAGAATAAGATATTAAAGCCGAAAACTGAAAAAATTTAAGCGCTCTGTGTCATTAAAATTAGCTATACATAAAACTATAAAAATAAATAAATAATCGTGCTCTTACTATTGTTTATAATAGATGGAAATCACACAAATAGTAAAAAAATTTGCTGTATTTTTACCATATTTGAAATTAAATATTGTATTATGAATATATTTTTCCAAATTAAAATAATACAAATAAGCAGTGCGAAACAAACTCTTTTTAAAACCCAAGTATTATGCCATAGCCCTGTTAGAATTTAAAAATATGTTAAGATTCTTAAAATAATGTCCTTATCAATAAATTATGGTTTATTAGAATACGTTTAACATATATTTATGTCTTTAGTAAATTTAGAACATAACACTATGAGTACTATATATTTCAATTGAAAAATAATGTATTTATTTGTTTAATGGACAAAAATAATTTAACGTAATTCTAATTTCATCCCCTATGCATTCATTTTATATAAATAATAATTTTACATAATTAATGAATAATTAATATTGTTAAAATGACAAAGGAATATTAAATTTAAAATATTGATAAATATTGGTTTTTATATTACAATATTTATTCACTTCATTCGTTATGTATGAAATTTTTAAAAGTATTTATATTTAAATTATCATATTTACAATATTATAAAATTTATAAAACTAATATATATTTTTATTCTTGCATTTATATTTATGCATTTAAGTTAATAATATTAATTCAATCAATTTAAGTTAATAATACTGTTAAAAAAATGCAATTAACGCTTTTCATTTTTTTTTTCTCCAACCAAAGTAAAAAATTTCTAAAGATACGTAAGGGAAGCTGACGTTTTTCTATATGAATTGAAGTTCGCATTGTTCTTTAATTGTTAAGTTTATAAATAGAAGTTATTTAAGGTTAATTTTTTTTAAAACCGGTGAAGAATTTAATTTGCATAACATGTCGATCATCGTAGGTTATATCATTGAGAACAAAATATATTTCAAAATACAGAGCGTACAACAAATAATAATTTTTACCATTTTTATTTAAAAATTAATAATTTTGTTCGTGGATCATGATATTATCGATAAAGTATACATGATATAGAGATATGCTTATTCAAAGAAAAATGAAACAAATAATTCTTATAATAATTGGGATAGTTTTACGTAAACAAATTTTTTTATTATTGTGCTTATAAATAAACATCTATTAATATTGTATAAATTTTCAGTTTTAGGAATTTATAAAAGTATTGCAAAAACAGATAACAGTAAATTTCAAAATAGTCGAAATAGACTGTCAAGTGATCAAATAGCCAATATTTTGAAGAACATTAATGAGATAAATTTTAATGAAACATCGGGAACTAAAGATTTGCAAGAAGCAAGGAACAAAATACGAGAGTTGGAAGAGAAGCTTAAATATATAGAAGTTAAGCTTGAAAATCGTGTACCCAAGAATTATCCCTTAGTGACATTTCTTAATTATAAAAATCGAAAACGTGTATTAGTAACAGGTGGTGCTGGTTTTGTAGGGTCACATTTGGTCGATCGCTTAATGCTAGCAGGACACGAAGTAATTGTTGTTGATAATTTTTTCACTGGTAGAAAAAGAAATATTGATCATTGGATTGGACATGAGAATTTTGAGTTAGTACATCACGATGTTGTTAGGCCTTTGTATATAGAAGTAGATGAAATTTATCACCTCGCTAGCCCTGCTAGTCCACCGCACTATATGTTAAATCCTGTAAAGACGATAAAAACTAATACTTTAGGAACAATTAATATGTTAGGTATGTGCTGTTTTTTTTAGCTTATGTTCCATTAATATTGTAATTTAAATCATAATTGCAGGTCTTGCTAAAAGAGTTGGAGCAAAAGTATTAATAGCTAGTACTTCTGAAGTTTATGGTGATCCAGATGAACATCCTCAATCGGAAACTTATTGGGGCCACGTTAATCCAATAGGTATTTATTTATAAACTTTGACATTATTATTGCTTAATATGTTTACATTGATTTTGTTATAGTTCATTAAATTATCAAAGCAATTTAGATGATTAAGACAATAATTTTATTATTAATATTAAATTAATAATACATAAATTTGTATATAAATTGTCCAATTGGTCTATTTATGTAAATTCTATTAATATTTTAAATATTTTTTAATTTATATATTTTTAATAGACAATTATTTCATTCTTTTTTATATTTCTTATATAAAATAGCGAATCATAGTTTATTAATAATTTTAGATAAAATTAATTGAAATAGATAAACATATTTGTTTATTTTCATAAAAAAGGTAAAAGTTTATCATATGAAATATAATTAAATACACTCACAAATTAAAATTTTTTATATTAACAATAAATTAAATTATCCCAAAAAAATTAATTCAATATCAATTCCAAGTATAAATAATTTTACAAGTAACAAAATAAAATTAGATTATTAATTTTTAAACGTTAATAAAAATCAGAAACTATATCAGAAACTATCGATGAATTCAATTATCAATAATTTATGATGTTAAATATAATTTTTAATTAGTAGTAAGATAGACAATTGTTTTAAAGGTCCAAGAGCTTGTTATGATGAAGGAAAACGAGTTGCAGAAACATTGAGTTATGCGTACGAGCATCAAGAAAATATTGCTGTTAGAGTAGCCCGTATTTTTAATACCTACGGTCCTAGAATGCACATGAATGATGGTCGCGTAGTGTCCAATTTCATTTTACAAGCATTGCAAAATAATTCAATTACAATCTATGGCGATGGCAAACAGACAAGATCATTTCAATATGTGTCAGATTTAGTGGACGGATTGGTTGCATTAATGGCCTCAAATTATAGTCAACCAATTAATATTGGAAATCCCGTTGAACACACAATAGAAGGTGTTAAAAAAAATATAAAACTTTTTTCATTTAAATTATATAATTTATGAATTTATTCTATCAATATGATTCTAATAAATCCTGAAAATTAATCATAAAAACATTCATAATTAAATAACTTTTAAAAAGATGGAGCAAAATATAATTTTGATTATAAAGTGGTGTCTACTTGAGAAATTAAATTGACTGATATTATTAATAATTTTTACATGTTATATTTACAATAGGCATTTCAAAAATTTACAATTAATATATAACCTTTTTAAGTTTATTTAATCTTTAAAATACAATTTATTTTACAGAATTTGCATTATTAATAAAAAATTTAGTGGGAGGAACAAGCAAAATAGTAGCATTAGCTGCCGTTGAGGATGATCCACAACGACGAAAACCAGATATTTCTAGAGCTAAGAAATATTTAAATTGGGAAGCTAAGGTTTCATTAGTCGAAGGATTAAAAAAGACCATTACATATTTTACTAAAGAGTTACAGCGATCCAAGTATTCATTTACAGATCATCATTTAAAAAGGCCATATAAAAATGATCATGATATAATTGAACAGTTATAGTAAATGCATTTTGGGCTAAATTATTACGTGCCAAATAATTCCTGTCCATAACAACTTGATCAGTTTTTTATTAATATAATATTGCTGAATAATTTAAATTACATAAATTTTTTTTCAAAATTTACTAACAGAGCAATATTATTTGTAAATTAATTTAAGTCTTAATTTTACAATCTCATTAGGATAGAACAATGTCTATGTTTATCGAAGTCATAATATGGAAATTGAACCAACTGATGTAAGTAAGTAACATTGTAATTATATAGCAACAACATTATTAAACCTAATCAAAAATATGTATGAATTTAAATTAATTCGATGTTTTATTAACATTATTGAAAATTTCTTTGATCACTACTGAAAATTATCATTAATTATATTGCATAATATTATTACGTAAAGAAGCTTGTTAAATATAATCGAAGTAAATAATTACATGTAATTATTATAAAATTAAGAAAGATTTAAAAATACGTTAATTAATTATATATTAAGCAATTATTTATTTAAACCAATTGTAAATATTGTAAAATTACCAAACAAATACTTTTATTGTTTGGACAATGTACTATAGTAAATTAATCTATCTGTAAAATATGCTGTAAAAAATGATGAAATTATTAAATTTTAAGAGTTATGAAAATTGTAAATGTTCTATGTAACGTTTAAAAATACTAAATGTAATTGCATAAATAAATTGAATATAATTTAAAATTGAAGAGATACTTAATAACATTCAGGTATATAAATATTAAACAATTAATTATATATTCCTTAATGTTTATGATAAAATCATTTATTCTTTGTAAGTTTAAAAAAAAATAATTGTATTTCATATTTACTATAAACTTGCAGACAATTTGTAAATTTATGAAAATTAAATATATGTCAGAAATATTCTAGTAAATGTACGATCATAAGTCAATCATTTTTAGAAGCATTTGTTATTCATTTACTCTCTTTTCATCAACGAAAGTATATAATATAAAGAATATTTTGTGCAAATGATAACAAGATAATAGCAAGAAGATTTTATCTTTATGACTCAAAGCTACTATCGTCTCGTAACGTTCCAATTTTCAAGAGAAAATTAATTTTTGTGCTAATGTTTTATAAACGAACAAAAAAACGAGAAAGCAATTATATGTAACGAAGTTGTACAAAATATAAATTTATGAATGAAAGTTTTAGCGAAGATAAAATAAAAAAAAGGACCAATATGTCATATTAATCATATGAGTGTGACAAAAAGCTCATTGATATCGATATTGATTATCAAATTAGTAGCTTACATGATTGATTCTTACTGTACAAAAAGGAAATATTACACAACCTCTATACCGTTCACTATGAACATTTATTAATTAAGTAAACATAAAATTATATAGAATCTATTTTTCATATTATTATTTTATACTAGTAATATTATACTTATGTATTAATTAATTTACATATAATTATATAATCATAGTGATAGTTGAGAATAAAAATTAAATTTTAAGTTTAGTAATTTACTTTTTTTTTTTATTAAAAAACAAATAATTATAAAACTACGTAACTTTTTTGTATGGTTTAACTCAAAAATGTTGTTTATTATGTAAAAAAAATTTATGTAATATTTAAAAAGAGTTTGAAATTGAACTCCAATAATTGGAAAAGTATTGAGTTACAGCAATATTGGAGTATTATAACAGCATATTAAATTTTAAAAGTTAAAAATATTTTAATAAATAAACACATACAAATATAGTTAAAGTGTTTGATTTAGTCACGATTATAATATAAACAAAATTAGAAGAAAATCATGCAAAATAGAAATTTAATATCTGGAGTAAAGTTATTTATGAAAATCGAAGGTTCAAGGTATTATTACGCAAAGCTAGTGTCATTTTTATCGATTATCTTCCAATTTTGTTATCGCTTTACAGCGATATTAAGAAGCGATGATTACTATTTTTAAATCACAATTTTAATTGCAGAATTGAAATTTATATTAATATTTTATCTATCAATAGTAAAAATAGATATTTTAATTATCTCATATCAAAATATACTTACAATAATATTAATATATTTAAAAAAAATTTTATTTTATTTTATATACAATAAAAATATTTAATATAATTTCATAATTTAGTTCGTTAAATTAATTTTCCAAAATAAATAAGAATCACCGTATTTTATTATCTTTGTACTCTTCTTTGAATAATTAGTTGAGTAATAAGTTAGTATCAAATTAAAATATTTATATATATAAATTCAATAAATAAGAGATTTGGTTGTTTTACTTAATTTTCAACCACTAAAACACAAATTATATTTGTTAATTTTTATACTTTAAACAACATTTTATTTATAATCATTAAGTTTGTAATTAAGAATTTTATCATTTCAAAAATTCGAATTGATTTTTCCATTTACATTGATAAAAATAAATTATTAATCTTTTTAAAATCTGGCTGAAATAATAAATGATATATCAATTTATTCGAATGCGATTTTACTTGATTGTTAAATTAATATTCAAACTAATATTCAAGCTAATATCACAAATAAGAAAAGTTTTGAATTGGTGCTCGTATTAAATTGAAATACCAATGAACAAGATTGCAGTTTTTGTTGTATTCAAGTTATAAGAGATTATTTAAAATATATTCTAATAAAAAAAGGTTGCGTTTGTTTAAGTATCTATATGTATTTAAATTATTAAACTGCATACAAGATTATATATTTGAAATTAAAATTAATAAAATTTTTAATTAAATTCAAATTTTGAAAACAATATTTATTTGGAGAGATAAGATATTTTTAAGAAAAAGTAATTCTTTTTGTTATTATTTTACATGTATGTATTATATAAACTTACATAATACAATAATAGAATAATGGATATTTGTCTAAAAATAAACCTTTAGAAAATTCTTCTTAGCAATATAAAAAAATATATAAGTTGTAGAAAATCTTATAGATGCTTTTACTTTCTACCTCCATTATTTTATCATTTCTTTTTTCATAAAATAATAAAAAGAATAAAACTCTATTTATAAATAAATATATCCTTTAATTTAACAATCCCTATGAAATGTAAAGCAGTGCAAAACATTAAGTACTGCTTTGTTGTTTGCTCGAAAATCTACATTTTAAAAGGTACAATGTGTATTTAAAATGATATAATATTAAATAATTAAATTTCACAGATGTATGCTCGCGTTGGTATGTACATGCATACACATATAATTTAAATAAACAAAAAAAAAAATTAAAAACATATTTCATTTTTGTTGTTTTTTAAATTCATTACACATCAATTAATTATTTAAATTATTATTATTTAGTAAGTTATTTGAATTTAATTTAAAATTAAATGTTCTTTCAAATAATTGTCTGTATTTAATTGTTAATTAAAACTTTTGTTATATTCTATATATTATTACAGACAATTAATTTAATTCTAAAGAATTTGAAATCATTAAAAAAAAAAAAAAAAATTAAATAATTTTAAAAATCAGCTTGTACATAGATATTATTATTATTATTTAAAAACATGAATATTTTAATAATCTATATAGAATAATTTATTTAAGTTTACCTTTTATCTTATTTAACAAATTCTGTATTATTTTATTTTTTATCAAATATAATTGACATAATGAATGTAATGTAGTTATAAAAAAGTACACCAAATTGATGATAATCCAAATTTTAAATAAAAATAAAAATGTATATTATATTCTTTTAATTAAGCATCCAATATTTTCATTTGTATTTAAAAATATTTAATTAAAAAATTTATCATATTATTTTAAATATACCATATTTTATTATATATTTTATTATATAAAATACCAATATACCGGTTATTTTAATATAACCATTAATGTTTTATAATTACATGCATGTATAGCTTAAAATTTTTAATAATATGCCATATTACTTTCATGATAATGTTAAAAATTAGAATTTTAATCGTGTCTATTAATTCCTTACGCATTCATTATTATTTACCGTAGAAATTGACATAATTAGAACGAAATTATTGTTACGATAATAAATTTATTTCACTCGAATGTTTTTATTAGTTGAATGATTGTTCCATTTTTTTTTTCATACTATTGTATAAAATATTATCTAGAATATTATTATTTCAATTTATTAAAACAAATAAATAATTCTTTTAATTTATTCAATTTCACGTAGATTAGCTCCATATCGATTATTTCATAATTTGAAATTAAAAAACGTTCTAAAAAAATACGTTGAATAATATGTATCGGATAAAATATATTTTTGAAATTAATACTTCATACAATTATATTTATCAAACAACATTCATTTTTCTTTGTAAGTAAATAAAAATTAATTTAATTTATTTTGATAATATGTATCTTTATATTTATGTTATAAATTCGTTTGAAACCTTCGAAATAATGTTTAATCTGAAAGAAAATGGAGACAAAATAAAAATAACAAAATTTATTTACGTTTTACATTCGTTTTCTTAAATATCTTTTTCTCAATTTCAGTTATTTTTAATAATATGTCTTTTAATATAGACACGTAATATAATTATATTTAATGTGCGATGTATATATTATGCAATATATTATAAATATTTTTATAATTATATACCAAATTTAATTTCATATTTATTATGAAATAATATAAATTAATTTTGAAAATCCTCTACATAGGCCATAAAGAATACTAATCGTTCCAATCTAATATCTTGAAAAATTATTCAATTAAAAATCAATCTTTATGAATATTTCCGGTCTTTTATGAATGAAAATTTTTATTTCAATTTATTAGCGACTATACTAATATTTCATATGACTATTCATATTCACGTGAAAGCTTGTTTCTTATGATACTCGATTTTTTCTTTTTGTACATTTCCAAATAGATATTCAATTTACAATTCAACGATTTCTAAATACATTTCGTCTATTAGATTAGTATTTAATATTGTTATTGAGGATACTTTTATATAAATATTTTACATAGATATAAAAAATTCAGTTGATATATTGGAAAAATATACATATATAAAAGTATATCTTATATGTGTACTTAAAATTTGTAGATATAGTAGAAAGTTGAACGGTAATAGTGTAAT